TAAATCATCTTCAATTTTTTGGATTCTCTTGACTTCTTGCTTCTGTGGAGGAGTATCTTCTGGCTCTTTATGTTCCAAATCTTTGACTTGATTCTTGCAATCTTCCATTTTGTTTTTAGGACTCTGTATAATATTTTTTAATTCAGACAATGTATTCTTTATTTCTTGTTGATCCCTTATTAGTTCTTGTTGATCCCTTATTAGTTCTTGTTGATTTTATTAGTTCTTGTTGATCCCTTTTCATCTCCTCATAGGTCTTATCGACCTTTTCTAGGAAATTCTTAAAAAACCTTATAAGCGTGGTTTTGAACTCTATATCCAGTCTCTTCTTTTCCTCCATTTCTTTTGTTTGTGATCTAATTCCTTGTCTTGGCATTTTCACAGCTTCCCTGAGTTGGTAGGGTGGCTTTGTGTGCTAAGGTGTCCTATATGGTTCAGTGAGTCAGCCTCCCAGTTACCTGAGGTGGGCAGTCTTGGTGTAGCCCTTTGTGGGATGGGTGGGCAGTCTTGTTGTTAAGCCTTGCTTGTTGTTGGTATCACTCTGTATATTGATATTTTAAATTGACTAATTAATAAGCTGAAGATTTTTTTTTTGATTTTCTACATAAATCTGAAAATAATGACAGTTTTGCTTATTTCTAATCTTTCCACCTCTGCTTTATTTTGTTATCTTACTGTCTAAGACAGCACTGTCCATCTATGCAGGCCACATGTATAATGTGAGAATTTCTAATAGCTACATTAAAAAATTAAATAGGCAGGTGAAAGTAATTTTTATGACATATTTCATGTGACCCTGTGTCTCAAAAATAATATTGTTTCGATATGTAATCAATATAAAATTATTAATGAGATTTTTTAGTTTTTTTCATACTTAAGTCCTTTAAGTGTATTAAATTTTGCTCTTACATCTCATTTCGGAATAGTCACATTTCAAGTTCTCAGTGGTCACACATGGCTAGCAGCTACCGTAGTGGGCAACTCAGGTCTGGGACACCCAGTGCCATGTTTGGTGGGAATGGAGTTTGCAGCCAGCCTTGCCTGGACCATCGGAAGGGGAATGCTCTTACAGTTCGTTAGGAGAGTCGCTGTCGGTTTCGGTTTCTTGTGAAGACCTGGACTGGACGGAGACATGCCTTGTGGTCCTCGTTTGCTACAAGCTTTAACACACACAGATTTGAACTTTCCGGTCTCTTTTGAGGTGACCATCTACTTCCTCCTCTAACTTCAATGTGGCGAGCTGACTGATTTTCAAAGATTAAGTCAACCTGGCATTTCTGGACGAGCCCGATGTTGCAACGATGTGTTACCATTTTTCATAGACTGCCAGGCTTGCTTTGTTTAGGAGTTTCATATCTATGTTTATGAGTGATGCTGGCCTGTGATTGTTTTGGTACTGAACTTGCCATAGAGAGAGCTGGGAAGCATTCCTCCTTTTTCTATTAGGTAGAAAGGTTGGGGTAAGAACGGAATTATTATTTTTTCTTTAAGTAACTTGCAGGTGAAGCCCTCTGGACCTGAGTTTTCCTTGTGGAAACTGATGATTGATTCGATTTCTTTAATGATTATGGGAAGGTTTGATATTCAGCTCATGCCGTGGAACGTCATGCTAAGGCACCCCAATAGTCCCATACCAGTTGGTACAGAGCCACCCCTCCCCACCTTCACCCCCAGACCTTCCACTGAGATGGAAGCGTTAATGCCAGGCACAGCCAGGGGCCTCTTGTGCTCTGCGTGGGGCGGGGGGGACCATGACCAGGACCAATATGCATTCAGGTTTTCTTTTCAGTTTTGCTAAGTTATACTTTTTTAGGGATTTGCCCATTTCATTAAAATTTAAGCTATTGTAAGTTATTCATAATATCATATATATATATATATATATATATATATATATATATATATATATATATAATTTTTTATTTTATTTTTGCCATGTCGACAGCCTCTCTAGCTTTTCATTCTTGATATTGGTTAGTGGTGCCTTCCCTTTTTCCTCGATCAGTCTCATCAGAGGGTCATCAAAACTATTAGTCTTTTACTGGAAATATTTTTTGGTTTTGCTGGTCACATTTTATTCTTTTCTGCACTTACCTTTACTCTGACTTCCTTTGTTTTCTAGCTTCTTTAAAAAAAAAAAAATATATATATATATATATATATACACACACACACACACACACACATATATATATATATATATATATATATATATATATATATATATATATTTCAGAGAGGAAGAGAGAGGGATAGAGAGATAGAAAAATCAATAATGAGAGGCAGCCATTGATTGGCTGCCTCCTGCACATCCCCCTACTGGGGATTGAGCCCACAACCATGTGCCCTTGGCCAGAATCGAACCTGGGACCCCCCAGTCCGCAGGCTGATGCTCTATCCACTGAGCCAAACCAGCGAGGGCTGTTTTCTAGCTTCTTGAGTTGGGCTCTTACTTATTACTTTCAGCCTTTTCTTTTTTCTAATATAAGCATTGTAAGCCATAAACTTCCCTTTAAGTCTTGTACCCACATTATTTTAATATGTAATACTTTCACTCCCATTCAGCTACAAATATTTTATAATTTCCATTAAGATTTCTTTTTTAATCCCTCAGTTATTTAGAGATGTATTTCTTAATTCCCAAACATATGGGGCTTTTGAAATTAGCTCTGACTTATTTGTGTTGTGGTTTAAAAAAAAAAATATATATATATATATATATACACACACACACACACACTATCTGATTTCAGACTTGAAATTTCTTGAAATTCACTGGTTTTGTAAATATTCCACACATCTTGCAAAGGAGAGTATTCTGCAACTGAAGCCAGGGTGTTCTAGAAAAGCCCATTAGACACGTGTCTTAATCATATCCTTATTGAATATGTATCTGCTTATTCTACCACTTTCTGAAGGATGTGTTTTAAAATCTCCCACTGGTACTGTGGATTGTTCTACTTTTCTGTGTTGTTCTCTTCTTTGTGTTTCTTATATTTTAGAACTATTTGCATGCACATTTGAAATTGTTCTATCTTTCTTGTGAATTGGACCGTTTTCATTATGAAGGGACCTTCTTTATTTCTATGATGGTGTTTTGTTTTTTTTTCTGACATTAAAAAACTGCATTAGCCTTCTGTTGGTCCTTCTCTGCATGCTCTTTCCCCATCTGTTTACCATCACTCTTTCAGCACCCCTGTGTTCCGGAAGTGTCTCCTGTGGGTGTCTCTTGCAAACTGCACACAGTTGGGTTTTATCCAGTGTGAGAATATTAGTATTTTAACTGCAGCATTTAGTTCAGTTGCATTTATTGAATTATACTGTATCTGTCATCTATCTGTCCCATCTATCTTGTATTTATTTTTCTCTCCATCCTTGCTTACTTTAGGGTTGATTGGGTTTTCTCATTCTATTTTTTGCCCTCTCATAATGAGGATAAATATCATACACTGCACTTCCATTCTTTTAACGTTCACCCTGTAATGACAGCTGCATTATTAGCTCCCCGAGGAAAGGGAAGGTAGATTTCGTATCTACCTTCCCTTTCCTCGGGGAGAATATAAGGAGCTTAGAACTCCAACTCCGGTCACCCAAGTTCATTGTCGGTGTGTAGCTGAGCTCTATTTTTATCCAGAAGACACGGTCATTGTTTTGTATTTTCAATATTCTCCATTCCCTATCGCATTAGATCTGTCTGTGATCGCTCCCTCTTGCCTGAAGTCCCTCCGATGGAATGTTTTTTTTAAGAGAATCTGCTAGTGAAAAAAATCTTAGTTTTCCCATTTGTAAATGTTACTTCCCTTCGTTCTGGCAAGATATTTTCACCGGGTATCTAGTTTGTGAAAGGAATTTTCACCGGGTATAAACTTCTATGGTGATGGTTATCTTTAATTCCTCTGCCCTCTGGCTTCCGCGGCTTCTGATAAAAAAGTGAGATATAAAGTGTCCCTTCTTCGTTCCCTGAGCCCCAGACAGGAGGTTTGCACTTGGTTCCGAGAGGAAAGGGGAGTCGGGAGTCGGGAGTCGTTCTTAGCTCCGGGCCGACCTGGTGCGACGCGCCTTTCAGAAAGCGCTCCGGCGGCGTGCGGCCCGGCCTGGCTCGGCGGAGGGAGGGAGGAGGGAAGGAGGGAAGGAGAGAGGGAGGGAGAGCACCTGGGCGAGGGTCGCGGTGTCGCCCGGGACGGGCGAGGGCAGAGGGAGGGTGTGGAGGGAGGAGGCCGGAGGCGGCCGGGGATGGGGACGGGCTGCCGTCGGCGCTGGGAGCCGCCGGCACCGATGGCTCCGGGCTCCCCGCGAGGAAGAGCGGCGGTGCCGGAAGGAGCAGAGGGTGGTTTGGAAGGGGTGGTTCTAACGAGTCCGTCCCGATCCTACAGGTCCGTTCGGTCCACGAAGAGCTGCGCCCGGTGTGCGCCCAGCGCCCCGGGCAGCGAGGCCGCCCCGCGCGCACCTGTCACCGCCGCGGCCGCCTGCCGCGATGACTGCCCAGCCGGGCCCTGCAGACGCGCCCGCCTCGGACCCGGCCGCGTCCGCACTGCGCCCACGGGCTGCCGGGCGGGCGGGCGGACGGAACGCTGGACGTGGCGGGCCGCTCTGCGCCGGCCCGGCGGCGCTCTCCGCAGCTCGGGTTTGGGCGTCGCGACAGGTGGGGAAGCCCAGGCCGTGCCGCCCCCGCGGCCCCCTGCTCCTTAGCGGGGGAACCTCTGCCCGCTTCCCCATCGGTCCAACCCGGCCATGCCGCTTCCGGCCCATCCGAGCCCCCGGGAGGCTTTTAGGAAACGCATCTCGGCGCTGAGACCCCGCCCGGACTGGGAGTTGCCCGGGGCTGCGCGGACCCTGCTCCCGGGGGGCGGGGCCTGGAGCGAGGGCGGGGCTACCGCGGGGCGGGGCCAGCGGATAGGGCAGAGCTCCGCGGGGGCGGGGCCTGATAAGAGGGCGGGGCTCCCGCGGGGCGGGGCCGGCGGTGAGGGAGGGGCGGGCCTGTCGGGAGCGCGCCGAGCCCCCGCCCCGCCCACTCCCGCGCGCTCCTCCGCTCGCTCGCGCCGGGGAAAACGTTGCGCAGGTTCAAAAATGGAACGTCGTCGGCGTGAGGGAGCGCGAGGGGGTGTGCGCGCGTGCGCGTGCGCGTGCGCGCCGGGGCGAGGGTGACCGGGACCCCGCCGCCGGCCCGAGCATCGCGCGCCGCAGCCGCGGGCCCGCAGCTCCGCCCCCGGCCCGGCCCGGCCCGGCCCGGCCCCGGGCCGCTCGCCCGCCGCCCCGCATGGAGCTGTCAGCCATCGGCGAGCAGGTGTTCGCCGTGGAGAGCATCCGGAAGAAGCGCGTGCGGAAGGTGAGGCTGCGGGGGGCGGCTCCCGGGACCCCGGCGGAGCCCCTCCACGCCGGGGGCGCGGGGAAGCGTGTGGCGGGGGGCCCGGGCGGCCTCGCGCGGCCGGGCTTGTCGCCTCAGCCGGTGGGTGCCTCAGTTTCCCCCGGCACCTGGCAGGGCGAGTAGAATGAAAGTTGTCGCCCCGGGATGCTGGGGGCCGCCGAGCCCGCCAGGACTGGAGGTCAGGACCGGGCCGTAGGAATCCCGGTGGACGCCATCCTGCCTCCCCCTTCCCCGCCTCCAAACGTGGGGAGACTGAGGCCCAAGTGGAGGAACCGGCTGGCCAAGTGCGCTCGCGTCGGAACTGGGTCTCGAACACAGGACTCTGGACTCTTGGTACCAAGACCTCTGAAGTTGGGGGCGGGGCTCCGGACCGGCCTCCGGCCTCCGAAGCCTACGGGCCGGACTTGGACCTTCTCCGCGCCTGTCCCCACTCCCACTCCCACTCCCACCTCCATCCTCCCCCCCCCTCCTCCCCCTCCTCCTCCCCCCACCCTCCTCCTCCTCCTCCTCCTCCTCCTCCTCCGCGCCTGTCCCCACTCCCACCTCCATCTTTCTCCTCCTCCTCCTCCTCTTCCTCCTCCTCCTCCTCCTCCTCCTCCTCCTCCTCCTCCTCCTCCTCCTCGCGCACACCCCTCCGCTCTCCCCACCCCAACTCTCAGCCCGCCCCTGGGGCCGCCCCGGCGCGGCTCCGCCCCCTTCGCCTTCGTGACACCCACCTGCCCTTAGGGAGGCGTCCGCGGGGTTCGGGGTTCGGGCCGCGCCTCCCGGCTGGGCGGGTCTGCAGGGTGGGTCGCCCCAGGGTGGAGGCGGGGGTCGTGGGGGAAAGCCCCCTGCGGCGCTCACCACCAGCCTTTCCCCGGCTCCTCTCTGCAGCCCCGAGAGGCTCCGGGCGGGGTGGCGGGAGGCACACACCCAGGCCCAGGCCGGGAAAGTGAACTGATCAAAGTCACAGGAGGCGTCAGCGACGGCGGGAGAGCAAAGAGCCCTATTTGGCTGGTGGCCAGCTCTTCTTTTGTGAGAGAACGCAGTCGTGGCATCTTGAGCTCAAGGTCAAGGTGGTCCATGAGCTTCTTTTCTTTCTTTCTTTCTTTCTTTCTTTCTTTTTCTTTCTTTCTTTCTTTCTTTCTTTCTTTCTTTCTTTCTTTCTTTCTTTTTTTTTTTTAAATATATTTTCATTGATTACAGAGAGAAAGGGAAAGGAGAGAGAGATAAACATCAAAGATGAGAATCATTGATCGGCTGCCTCCTGCACGCCCCCTACTGGGGATTGAGTCTGCAACATGGGCTTGTGCCTTTGACGGGAATCCAACCCTGGAAGCTTCAGTCCGAAGGCGGAGGCTCTATCCACTGAGCCAAACCGGCTGGGCCATGAGCTTCTTTTCTTCCCCTTCTCTGATGGGGCTGAACCCTGTCTTCAGGTTGGGGCTGCCCTCCTCCTCCTCTTCCTCACATCCTCCAGCGTTTCCTCGATTTTAATTTATTCCCCAGAGCCCAGGGCTTGTCATGGATGCAGCCCAAGCAGCTACAGTGATTGCCCTCTTCCAGCCAGGCCGGAGGGGTAGTGCCAGAGAGCCAGGAGTGTCCTTCCAGCCATTCATTCAAAACAGATTTCTAACCCCCAGGGAGGGATCACCCCTCCCCTCCCCGAGCTGGCATCCTGGCAGAGGAGACACACTGTGCCAGCCAGCGGGCTCTGTGCTGCACACCCTGAGGGGGAGGATGGCATCAGAAAGGGTGGCCGGGACAGGCCTCCTTGAAGAGGTGGCATCTTGGCCTCAAAGTTCCCGTGTGGAGGGCTTCACCCATTGGGGGGGGGTTGGCGGAAACTTTATAAAAGCCTCGGTCAGCTCTGAGGAGGGGAGGGTCCGGCTCTATTTTCTAACTACTGGAGGAGTGGCCATCTTTCCTCGGTGGAGGTCTGTCAGCTTCTCCGGGGTCCTCCAGGTCTTTTGAGTTGAGAGACTCACTGGCCTGTCCCCTCTGGGTCAGAGGCAGCCTGGTGGGATTGAGGCTGAGCAGATTTCTGTGGCTTGGAGAGTCTTCTGATCTAAAATGGTCTTAGCACTCGGATTCTGGACACTGGATCTCTGTTCATGCACACCCCATGTGGCCTCAGTTTCCCCGTGTGTGACCTGAGCGCCAGGCTGCTGCCTCAGGAGCCCAGAGGCACAGAGGTGTCTGGGCCAGGTGAGGGCTCCAGCAGGGAGGGCCATCTGGGGTGGTCATAGCAGCCAGAGTTTGGGGGGGGGGGTGTCTTTGGGTTGATGGGGATCTGATGGGGATCTCTGTGTATGTGTTAGGGGACATCTATCTGCAGTGGGGTGGTCATCGGGCCAGCTGTGCATCTCACTGTGTCTGCTTCTCTCTCTTCCCAGGGCAAAGTCGAGTATCTGGTGAAGTGGAAAGGATGGCCCCCAAAGTAAGGTCCTTTGTGTGTGCGTCTGCCTGTACACCCCTCTGCCCGCCCTGTGCCCTCTCTCTGCCTAACTTCCAGCTCCAGCTGCTCTGGCGTGGCCGGCAGACCCGATTAAATCATCTTCTCTAGCTTTCCGTTCCCCCTGCCAGCTGAGGGGCTTGGAGCACATGGAGGTCAAGGCGGGCCCCAGTTGCCCCTCTCACCTGCTCCTTCCGGTTAAGTTTCCTCAGGAGTTGGAGGCACCCCTTCCCCTCTTTCTGGCTTTTCTTGGCCCCTGGGAGGTGAAGGCCCAGCATCTAGGGTTCAGAGATGCCGGCTGGCTGCGTGGAGGGGCTGGCCAGCGGCGCATGAGTCCTCAGTGACATAGAACTAGGGACAGTCTGAGCCCACCTGCCTTTGGACAGCTCTCTCCACCCCACAGAGCAGGTTCCCATTCAGCCTGCGAGGCAGCGGGGTAGGAATCTCTAAAGTGGGGACAGGCTGCTCGAAGGTAAGCAGCTTGCCTTCGATCACACAGCAAGTGGGGAAGAGGTGAAGTAGGCCTCCCCGTTTACAGGTGTCTCCTCTGTGCCTCTTCCATCTCAGAGTTGGGGGGCAGGAAGCTGGTCCAGGACCTCTCCCAGTCTCCCCACCTCTCACGCTGAGACCCAATTAGAACCTTCACACCAACCAATCCCCTCCCAGCAGGGAGCTATTTGAGGGGGTGGGGACCGAGGGCGTCGTGGGTCCTTCCCATTGGCCTGTAGGTGCCCCTGCCCCCCGCCCTGCCTAGCAGAAGCTGACTCCTGGAATCCCCCTCTGCTCAGAGCCATGGGGGCAGGGTGGGGAACTGACCTGTATTGGTCCTGGAAGTGTCCTGGGGAGAGAGGCAGAGAGGATAATGGCCCGGGCTGCCTCAGCATCCGTATGTGTAAAATGGGTTCAATAGTCAAGGTCCTGGCGCCCCCTGCCAGCCCCCACAGGCTCCTTTACCTGTGGGACATTCTGACGATTGGAGTTGGTGGCTGCCCATTCCTCCTGCCCCTCCTCACACACTCCAGCACTGAGGGAGGGTCCGCAGGGCAGATGAACGTGGACGCGCAGCCTGGGCGCAGGAGCAGTAAGATGCGGGAGGACTAGAAGAGGGTGCCAGGGGCAGCAGGCACTGCTCCCTGAGCACTGGCGCCCCTGGCTTCTGGGCAGTGGGAGTTGGGCAGGCTGCAACCTGCAGGCCTGGGCGCCTTGGCGAGGGCAGTGCCAGCCTCAGCGGGGAGGGATCCAGATCCTCCTGTCTCACCCTGGCCAGGGAGGCCTACATTAACAACAGGAACAGCAGAATGCTCGCTCTGTGCCCGTTAGCCATGCTTTACCTATTTTCTCTCCAAACCAAACGGCAAACAAATGACTGCCCTGCCTCCCCAGCAGGTGGGGCAGAGGAGCTGGCTGGTAGTTATGGAAGGTACAGCAGCAGATAGCACGGAGAAGGGCTGGGGACACAGGGAAGGGCTGGCTCACAGGCAGAGGATGTTAAATCAGCTGCAGGTGCTCTCAGCCCGAAGAAACCCTCAGCCAGCCTACTCTCATCGCAGTCTGCTCAGAACTGTGTCCTTCCTTCCGCTTTCACTAGAATGCTACCGCATCTTCTGGGTGACTGCTCTCCCAGTGATATTGTCAGTGGGCACAGCAATAACCAGGCTGCTCATCAGTAAGTCCCTCCTATGATCAGACGTTGCCTATTGAACTGATTTATGGCAACCCATTTTACAGATGGGAAGACAGAAATCCTCAGCAGAGGAGCCCTTGCCCAGGTCACAGCTGGGATGATTTGGATTACGGGATGCCTGCCCCCAGGGCTTGCAGGTCTGGCCCCTTTGATACACAGTGGCTCTGGCAAAAGTGACCCAGGGTGATGGGCTGATGGTCCACTCAGTGGTACGTGCTCAGACTGTGGAGCCAGACCAGCCTGTTTTGAACTCTGTTCTATATATTTAAAGCCCTCAACCTCTGCATCTCCGTCTCGCTACTTGTAAAAAGGAGGCCCCAGCCGCACAAGGTGCCCAAAGGTGTCAGTGGCGGAGAGGGCGCTTCTTTCTCCTCCAAAACGGTTTGGGCAGTAGCAGAGTCCGGGATTCGGGCCTGGCAGCTTTTAGTGCTTTCTAGGCTTTCGAAATTGACTTAATTAATGCTCACCTGCTTTTATTACCTACCATACTGAACTGAGCGCTTCACAGGCTTAACACAACTAATAATTACACCAACCCTGGGCACCGTGTTAGTAGCCTCCTTCATGCAGAGGTAAACTGAGATCTGAATCAGTAGCTCAAAGCCACCCTGTGGCTGGCCCCCCAGGTCCCCCAGCCCCGCGCCTGATCTCCGTGGAGCCGCATCACACGGGGTGGGAGGCCCGAGCGGGCCTGGCCAGTGGGGCGCCCGCCGCCCGCCCCGCGGAGCCTGCGCACAGGGCGGAGCAGCTGCCGCCGCCTGTTTACCCAGCCCGGCGGCTGCGGTCACGTGGCCGTGTTTACCTCGCAGCGGGCACGCGCCGTCCCCGCCCTCGCCCCCCATTGGCGGCCCGGCCATCCGGACGCGCCTCCTGCGCGCGCGCGCGGCGCCGGTGCTGCGAGGAGAGGGCGGGCGGGGCGGGGCCTAGCGGCCCCCGCCTCCCGCGGCGCTCCCTGCCCGCCCCCTGGGCCTAGGTGCGGACCCAGCCGCCTCCTGTCCCGGCGCCCGGCTGTTCCCTATGAGGTTTATGGCCACTGGTGGCCTCCATTTTGGGGGAGCCCAGGTGATTGACAGATACTTGTGCAATCCATCTCCCCATGCCCTCCCTTCGCACGGAGCAGGGCCAGGCCTCCTGCTGCCAGGTCTGACCCTCTGTTACTGTCCCAGATCCCACTGATGGATGTCCCACGCTAATAGCAGGCCCCTCTGAATCTACCAACCTTTTCCGTGTGCCAGGCCCCAGGTCAGACATGAGGACTTGGTTAGTTAGGCAGTGCCCCTCTCCCCAGGACATCCCAGCTCAATCATGACATGTGAGGTCTCCGAAGGTAGAGCATGGCCGATAACCAACCACAGACTGCCCACTCACTGTCACAGGGGCTGGGGCAAGATGCTTACCCTCGGGCCTCAGTGTCTTCATCTCTAAAACGGGTCACCTACCTCATAAGGGTGTTAAGAGGGATGGATGAGCCCCCGGCAGTAGTCTGCTCTCACTCCTTGCTGTTAATGTCTGCGGTGCCGCTAGTGACTCTAAGACAAGGAAGCTGGGATCTAGAGAAAATTAGGGACTTGCCAGGAACCACACTGCAGCAGCATCAACAAAAAAGAGTAAGGAGGTGGGGAAGTGGTAGGGCAGAGAGGACATTTCACCAGCCTGAGAAAGGAGGCAGCCCACAGCAGGAACCAGTTTCAGCTGAGAAAACCTAACCTTGAGGAAATCGAACTGTGAGCCTCTGGTTGGTCATAGTTTGGGTTTTACCAAAATATACATCTAACCAGTTTCAGTTTCACTTTTCTTTTTCTTTTTTTTAGTTTCACATTTCTTCGGGGTGAGTGAAACCGCAGTGGCTTCTAGAGCCATCCCCAGAGCACCTGGCGGGCGGGCTGAGTGCTGGGGAGGGGTTACAGTCTGAGTGCTGGGGAGGGGTTACAGTCTGAGTGCTGGGGAGGGGTTACAGTCTGAGTGCTGGGGAAGGGTTACAGTCTGAGTGCTGGGGAGGGGTTACAGTCTGAGTGCTGGGGAGGGGTTACAGTCTGAGTGCTGGGGAGGGGTTACAGTCTGAGTGCGCTGGGGTGGGGTTACAGTCTGCGCTGGGGAGGGGTTACAGTCTGAGTGCGCTGGGGAGGAGTTACAGTCTGAGTGCTGGGGAGGGGTTACAGTCTGAGTGCGCTGGGGTGGGGTTACAGTCTGAGTGCTGGGGAGGGGTTACAGTCTGCGCTGGGGAGGGGTTACAGTCTGAGTGCTGGGGAGGAGTTACAGTCTGAGTGCTGGGGAGGGGTTACAGTCTGAGTGCTGGGGAGGGGTTACAGTCTGAGTGCTGGGGAGGGGTTACAGTCTGAGTGCGCTGGGGAGGGGTTACAGTCTGAGTGCTGGGGAGGGGTTACAGTCTGAGTGCGCTGGGGAGGGGTTACAGTCTGAGTGCGCTGGGGAGGGGTTACAGTCTGAGTGCTGGGGAGGAGTCACAGTCTGAGTGCGCTGGGGAGGGGTTACAGTCTGAGTGCTGGGGAGGAGTTACAGTCTGAGTGTGCTGGGGAGGGGTTACAGTCTGAGTGCGCTGGGGAGGGGTTACAGTCTGAGTGCGCTGGGGAGGGGTTACAGTCTGAGTGCTCGGGAGGGGTTACAGTCTGCGCTGGGGAGGGGTTACAGTAGGGGTGTCGAACTCAATCAGAGAAGGGGCCAAAATCTAAAATCCAGCCTAAATCGCGGGCCGAATGGTTTACTGAACAGTCATAAACTGTCATTGTGATGGAAACGCAGCAGAGTGCAGTGATGACAGCGCGTTGCGGGCCACATTGCAAGGCCTGGCGGGACGGATTTGGCTCGCGGGCCTTGTGTTTGACACATGTGGGTTACAGTCTGAGTGCGCTGGGGAGGGGTTACAGTCTGAGTGCGCTGGGGAGGAGTTACAGTCTGAGTGCTGGGGAGGGGTTACAGTCTGAGTGCGCTGGGGAGGGGTTACAGTCTGAGTGCTGGGGAGGAGTTACAGTCTGAGTGCGCTGGGGAGGGGTTACAGTCTGAGTGCTGGGGAGGGGTTACAGTCTGAGTGCGCTGGGGAGGGGTTACAGTCTGAGTGCTGGGGAGGAGTTACAGTCTGAGTGCTGGGGAGGGGTTACAGTCTGAGTGCTGGGGAGGGGTTACAGTCTGAGTGCTGGGGAGGGGTTACAGTCTGAGTGCGCTGGGGAGGGGTTACAGTCTGAGTGCTGGGGAGGAGTTACAGTCTGAGTGTGCTGGGGAGGGGTTACAGTCTGAGTGTGCTGGGGAGGGGTTACAGTCTGAGTGCGCTGGGGAGGGGTTACAGTCTGAGTGCTCGGGAGGGGTTACAGTCTGCGCTGGGGAGGGGTTACAGTAGGGGTGTCGAACTCAATCAGAGAAGGGGCCAAAATCTAAAATCCCAGCCTAAATCGCGGGCCGAATGGTTTACTGAACAGTCATAAACTGTCATTGTGATGGAAACGCAGCAGAGTGCAGTGATGACAGCGCGTTACGGGCCACATTGCAAGGCCTGGCGGGACGGATTTGGCTCGCGGGCCTTGTGTTTGACACATGTGGGTTACAGTCTGAGTGCGCTGGGGAGGGGTTACAGTCTGAGTGCGCTGGGGAGGAGTTACAGTCTGAGTGCTGGGGAGGGGTTACAGTCTGAGTGCGCTGGGGAGGGGTTACAGTCTGAGTGCTGGGGAGGGGTTACAGTCTGAGTGCGCTGGGGAGGGGTTACAGTCTGAGTGCTGGGGAGGGGTTACAGTCTGAGTGCGCTGGGGAGGGGTTACAGTCTGAGTGCTGGGGAGGAGTTACAGTCTGAGTGCTGGGGAGGGGTTACAGTCTGAGTGCTGGGGAGGGGTTACAGTCTGAGTGCTGGGGAGGGGTTACAGTCTGAGTGCGCTGGGGAGGGGTTACAGTCTGAGTGCTGGGGAGGAGTTACAGTCTGAGTGCGCTGGGGAGGGGTTACAGTCTGAGTGCGCTGGGGAGGGGTTACAGTCTGAGTGCGCTGGGGAGGGGTTACAGTCTGAGTGCTCGGGAGGGGTTACAGTCTGCGCTGGGGAGGGGTTACAGTAGGGGTGTCGAACTCAATCAGAGAAGGGGCCAAAATCTAAAATCCAGCCTAAATCGCGGGCCGAATGGTTTACTGAACAGTCATAAACTGTCATTGTGATGGAAACGCAGCAGAGTGCAGTGATGACAGCGCGTTGCGGGCCACATTGCAAGGCCTGGCGGGACGGATTTGGCTCGCGGGCCTTGTGTTTGACACATGTGGGTTACAGTCTGAGTGCGCTGGGGAGGGGTTACAGTCTGAGTGCGCTGGGGAGGAGTTACAGTCTGAGTGCTGGGGAGGGGTTACAGTCTGAGTGCGCTGGGGAGGGGTTACAGTCTGAGTGCTGGGGAGGAGTTACAGTCTGAGTGCGCTGGGGAGGGGTTACAGTCTGAGTGCTGGGGAGGGGTTACAGTCTGAGTGCGCTGGGGAGGGGTTACAGTCTGAGTGCTGGGGAGGAGTTACAGTCTGAGTGCTGGGGAGGGGTTACAGTCTGAGTGCTGGGGAGGGGTTACAGTCTGAGTGCTGGGGAGGGGTTACAGTCTGAGTGCGCTGGGGAGGGGTTACAGTCTGAGTGCTGGGGAGGAGTTACAGTCTGAGTGTGCTGGGGAGGGGTTACAGTCTGAGTGCGCTGGGGAGGGGTTACAGTCTGAGTGCGCTGGGGAGGGGTTACAGTCTGAGTGCTCGGGAGGGGTTACAGTCTGCGCTGGGGAGGGGTTACAGTAGGGGTGTCGAACTCAATCAGAGAAGGGGCCAAAATCTAAAATCCAGCCTAAATCGCGGGCCGAATGGTTTACTGAACAGTCATAAACTGTCATTGTGATGGAAACGCAGCAGAGTGCAGTGATGACAGCGCGTTGCGGGCCACATTGCAAGGCCTGGCGGGACGGATTTGGCTCGCGGGCCTTGTGTTTGACACATGTGGGTTACAGTCTGAGTGCGCTGGGGAGGGGTTACAGTCTGAGTGCGCTGGGGAGGGGTTACAGTCTGAGTGTGCTGGGGAGGGGTTACAGTCTGAGTGCTGGGGAGGAGTTACAGTCTGAGTGCTGGGGAGGAGTTACAGTCTGAGTGCGCTGGGGAGGAGTTACAGTCTGAGTGCTGGGGAGGAGTTACAGTCTGAGTGCGCTGGGGAGGGGTTACAGTCTGAGTGCTGGGGAGGGGTTACAGTCTGAGTGCTGGGAAGGAGTTACAGTCTGAGTGCGCTGGGGAGGGGTTACAGTCTGAGTGCTGGGGAGGAGTTACAGTCTGAGTGCTGGGGAGGAGTTACAGTCTGAGTGCGCTGGGGAGGAGTTACAGTCTGAGTGCTGGGGAGGAGTTACAGTCTGAGTGCGCTGGGGAGGGGTTACAGTCTGAGTGCTGGGGAGGGGTTACAGTCTGAGTGCGCTGGGGAGGGGTTACAGTCTGCCCACCGGCCCCAGGCTGCACCATTTGTCAGTAACTATGGCAGGTGCCAAGGGCAGCGAGGGGGGGACGGTGCGCCCCGCTGGGAGAGGGTCTACAGGAACCTGGCTCCTGCGAGATGAGGAGAGTCCTCGGGAGGGACCATCTGGACAGAGGAAGAGCGGTGTGACTGTCTGCCCAGGCTGAACCGGTGGCACTGGGTATGGGCCATGTGGTCCTCAGGGCATGGCCCTTCAGGGCTGGGTTACGGGGCAGCCGTGTAGCATTGTCTTGTGGAGAAAGGAGCAGAGGGTTCTGGTCTCGGACAGCTTGTTGTTTGTGTCTAGATGGGACAGCTGTAGGCTTCACAGCCCCGGGACCATTTAAGATGAAGTTTTCAGCTTAGCTTGTTCGGAGGCCACAGGGCAGGGCCATGCCAGTCTCTTCCTGCTTCCTACCCCTCCCCTGAGCAGCTGTGGGACCGTCCCTGAGACCGCCTCTCCCTTCCCATCCAGTGGAGCTGGCGCCACCTCCGCCAGGTCACAGTCCGGGGCTTAGGCTTTGTCTGTGCATGCACGTGTGCACATGTACCCAAAGGCATAATTGTATGTTTGCATGTATATTTATTTGTATGCATGCACATATGCACACCTATATGTTTAAAAAAACTTTTTAAAATATATTTTTTATTGATTTTGTACAGAGAGGAAGGGAGGGAGATAGAGAGTTAGAAACATCGATGAGAGAGAGTCATCGATCAGCTGCCTCTTGCACACCCCCTACTGGGGATATGCCCGCAACCAAGTTACATGCCCTTGACCGGAATCGAACCCGGGTCCCTTCAGTCCCCAAGCCGACGCTCTATCCATTGAGCCAAACCGGTCCCGGCTGTTTAAAATTTTTAAATGCTAGCATCTGTTTATAGTGAATGGTACTGCTTTTTCCAATTACAAAAGTCATATACAGTTAGTTTTTTTAAAAAAAATTAAATAGATGAAAAAGTGAGCTGCTTAAAGCAGATTCTAAGTAAATAATGGGGCAGGGGAACACGGTGGCTGAGCTCAGGAAGTGCTGCGCTGTCTCAGGCCAGGCCTGTCCCCGCAGGGAGCACCCTCTGGCCCGGGAGTGGGGTGTCCCCTGGGGAAAATCCTAGTGGGTCCTCGCCTATGACTGGTGCTAGACATTTACCAAATTCCTGCTGAGTGCTAGGCCCCTACACCAGGCCCTTCAGACCTGGCCTCCATGGCACAGATGCCCAGAAGAGAGAGAGCAGCTCAGCCGGCAAGAGAGGCTGTGCTGGGGCTGGGGTTTGAGGAGTGGGGATAGCAAGTGATAAGCACAGAGCAATTCTGCGTGCCAGGCTCTGCTCCAAACACTTAGACACACAAGTGCTTTTTCCAGCAGAGTCTTCTGCACATGGGGAAATCGAGGCACAAAGACCTTAGGGAAATTGTCCAAGGTTTTACAGCTTCCAAGGGCAGAGCTGGGATTTGAACTAGGCCCCTGCCTTCACCTCTTCTCGGAAGGGCCTGTGGGGCGTACCGCCCTGCCCTCTCCCAGGTCCCCTGAGCTGCTGAGGCGGACATAGCGTCTCACACACCATCTGTAGATGGAATGATGAGTGCTCAGAACGAGGTGGCTCTGGTGTCATTGGAACCCCTAGGAGCCCTGCCCTCGCGTGGCCGCCTGGAGCAGCTCCGAGGAGCAGGTGACAGTTTTCTGGGCCAGGAAGGGGCGAGGGCCTGCGGACAGCGGGCCCGGGCGGAGCAGCTGTGGCTTCTGTGAATGCAGGGAGAGCGGGCAGCTCTGACCTCTCATTTCCCTCCCAGGTACAGCACGTGGGAGCCAGAAGAGCACATCCTGGACCCCCGCCTGGTCATGGCCTACGAGGAGAAGTAAGGGGCTCAGCCTGCTCGGGCCGGGCTCTGAACAAGGCCCGGGCACGGGCGGGATGGGTCTGCAGCTGGGGGAATTGGGCACCAGCTCCAGGGCCATGGGGCCCTGGTTGCTTTCCTGTTGCTGGGTGATGTTGGCCACTTCCCTCCCCTCCCCAGGCCTCGGTCTCTGCTGCAACGGGGCCGCCCCAATAACTCCTGCTGCGGCTTCTCCAAAAGGTAGGGCTTTCAGGCGCCATGATGAATGTAAACATGTGTCCTGGTGATGCCCTCTGTGTGAGGAGCAGCAATAGCAGTAATGCCCATGCCAGCCCTGGCCGGGAGATCAGAGACATGCCCTGCAGGTCCCTTAGCAAGAGAAGACACCTGATGAAGCTCAGGAAACGCCTGTGGGCCGGGCGGCTTTGGAACCTGGGCAGCTGGTTCTGGTCCTCCCCACTCTGCCCCCTCCTAGCTGCTGGCCTGGGCAAAGCCACCAGGGCTCCGTCCCCCACATCTGCCAGCGCTCCGCTCAGCTCCAGGGTGTTAGTGACGGGCAGCTCCTCCCACACCCGGGCGGAGGGCTCTCAGCGGGGAGCCTGGGCAGCATGTCCTCCTGCTGGCGTGGGGCCCTGTGAGCAGCACCAGCCATTCCCGCTGCTGTGAGAGGCCAGAGGCACTGAGCTCCTGCCAGCAGGCAGCCGCATCCTGCAGCTCCCCCAAACCCTGACCTGTTCGGTGCGGACCGTCTCCTCACCCCGTCCCTCTGGTCACCTCCGGAGGCAGGCCTGAGGGTCATCTGACAGATGGGGAAACTGAGGCTCTGAGGAGCTGTGGGGCTTGTCCAGGAGCCTCCCAGCTGGGAAACAGCCCGAGCCAGGCTCCCGACTGTACATGGGAGGCCCTTTCTCTGCCCTCGGGCCCCTTCTCGTCGAGTCTCCCCCAGGACGTCTCCTGCTGCCCATTCCAAGGACCAGTTCTCACTGCTCCTGCCTTTAAAGACGAGGGTCCCTGTCCCACAGCTCTTCCCGGTCCCAGTGCTGTGCGGCCTGGAGCAAAGTGGCTGTGACCCTGGAGAGAGATGGGCAGCATCACAGGCCTGGTGAGATTCCTGGCACCTGGCTCTGCCACCACCAGCTGGGAGGTGTCTGTCAGGCAAGGCCTTGCCCTGGAGCCTCGGCCTCCCCATCTGTGCGATGGGTATAGGTACTGACCTTGGAGCTTCTTGGGAAGCAGAGGCATATGGAAGGGAAGCACTCTGCAGACCTTGAGTGTGGGCAGTATCTTCTGAGTGTGAGAATCTTCTGGTGGTAATTGGGGGTCAGCTAGTCATCCTCTGGCTTATTCAGCAAGTCTTGATTGAGGTCATAGCAGGTGCCAGGCACTGTTCCAGGCTGGGGTCCCAGCAAGGCACAAGTCAGCAAACGCCCCTGCCCCCTGTGGCTCACACCTGTGTGGAGACACGCAATACACAGTGCTCTGACATACGTGTACCATATCAGAGGCTGATCCCTGCTGCAAAGACAGGGCAGGGGACAGGGTGGGCGGGGGTGCTGGTTTCCCGGGGAGTGAGCTGGGTGTTTGAGCAGAGACCTGATGAAGTGAGGGACTGAGCCCAGGGGGTCCAGAGAGAACAGGGTGAGGCCCAGGGCGTGCAAAGGCCTGGGGTGGGCCTGTGTGAGGAGCAGCGTGGAGGCGAGTGTGGCTCTGAGTGTGGCTGACTGGAGTGGCGGGAGCTGGGAGGCTGGGGGTGAAGGGGGGGCAGTGAGGGAGGCAGGGGCATCTGAAGGAGGGGTGGCACCGTTCAGGAAGAGCAGATGAGTCCTGGTAGACTATTGGCGTGCTATTTTGAGTCAGAGGTCAATAGTTAAGGACGGACGCGGAGACTTGTGCAGGCCCACTGTGCTACTCTCACTCCTCTGTCTTGGTGAAAAGGAGGTAGAAGGAGTGAGGCCCGTTTAACACATGCTTTGCAGGTTTAATGAGACTCAGGAGGCCAGCAAGGGGGCTCCACTGGGGTGCGGGGGGCGGGGGGCGTCCCTGCACCCCAGGGGCACTGAGAGGACACTGGGCTTGCTGGGGCCCCGACTCTGTGGCCGTCTCAGCTCTTTAGCTCTGGACACAATGGAGGGAGTGTCTGACGGATTCCAGGTCTGAGCTGGTGAGGGCTGGACAGAGGAAACGCCCTGCCTCACCCTCTCACCTGCACTCACCTGCAGATAGCAAAGGGGAAGGGGCTGCATATTAGAAGCCAGAAGCACACGGCCTGGGCTCCAGGCCTGTCCTATTGATCCTGACAGGACCCGAGGCCTGACCCTCCCAAGTTTGGAACCAGAGCTTAGCATTTTCACCACCGGCGGGAGGTGTAATTTGCCAACGTGTTTCTCAACCTCTCTGTGCCTCAGTTTCTCAGCTGTAAGATGAGGGAGTAGTATACCTCCCTCGTAGGATGGTGTGAGGGGTAAAGCCTTTAGAGCAGTGCCTGTACAGTGTCCAGTATGTGGTCATTGTAATAAATAAGTCAGGTAAATAATGAACACATTTCCCCCAGGCTCTTCTCTTTCCCCCTCCCCCTCTTCTCTCTCCTTTTTCTCCCCTCTCTCTCCTTCCTCTTTATTATTTTAGCCTGCCTACTTTCCATTTCCATAAATACTAGGGACATCTCTCCCGGCTCTTAAGATCCAAAGGTGGGAGGGTCCTTCCCAGTCTCACCAGTGCCCTGGGGCATTCCAGGCCGACTTGGTTGACAGGCTCTGTACACTCTCCTGGGGTGGAAACTGGAACTCGCTCTGGGGGAGGTGGCGCCAGCAGCGCTCTGGCCGGAGCCTGGCCCGGAAAGAGCCACGCACTTTGGGGGATAACACCGGAGCCCCCTCAGCAGGGCCCGGGCTGTGCCATTGGCTCCGGAAGCTGTGAAGACCGAGGCTTCGGAGTTCAACATGTGACCCTGTTGTTACGGCCTGAGGAGAGCAACAGGGAGGGGCCCCATCCGGAGCCCGGGGGGGAAGGGGGGAGTCTGTGAAGGACGCCCCTCTCCATAGATGCAGGGGGCAGGGTGGAGGACGCCCTACTTTCCCTTCCATGTCACAGTGTTTTCTTTTCTCCCCCTCTGCTTCACACCAGGGAGGAGAGAGACCGAGCGTCGGGGTATAGGAAGAGAGGTCCGAAACCCAAGCGGCTTCTGCTGCAGGTAACCGGCCAGCGGTGGTGCCCGCCCAGTCCCGTGCTCACCCCCGTGCCCAGCTGGTGAGCTGACCCACCGCCCTCCCAGCCCCGCCAGGGTGTGCGCGGAGGCCCCTGGGGGGAAGGCCAGGGGGAGTAGTTGGGAAAAGTGGGAATGTGGGCCGGCGTGCAGGAAGTGGGGGTGCTGTGGTGGGAAGGAGAGTGGACATATGGCTCATGGACTTCTAGAATCTCAGAAGCTTACAACTTTGTAAACGAGCCTTTTTGATAGTCAGAATCCCTAAAGCACACAATTGTAATATTTGAGGTCCTTCGAGACAAAACTTTAGAACTGAGGAAACATGAGAGCCTGGGATTCTAGAATTCAAGCAAAGGAGTGTCGGCATTCTGGACCAGTCGTGGAATGTCCTAGAAATGTGCCATCCTTTCCTGGTTCTCTGCCACAGGTGGGTCTAGACGCTGTGGCAAACTGATGCCCGAGTCTTGGGGCACCTTGCCCACCTCACTGCTTTGCTCCAAAAAGAAGGTGGAGTCTGCATAACGCAGTTTTATGATTTGAGGCCATCCTGTTCTAGGGGTGTCAAACTCAATCAGAGAAGGGGCCAAAATCTAAAATCCAGCCTAAATCGCGGGCCGAATGGTTTACTGAACAGTCATAAACTGTCATTGTGATGGAAACGCAGCGGAGTGCAGTGATGACAGCGCGGTGCGGGCCACATTGCAAGGCCTGGCGGGACGGATTTGGCCCGCGGGCCTTGTGTTTGACACATGTGTCAGTTAGGCGATTGGCTTCTGAGCCTGCGTTCTCCCCTCCGTAAAATCGAATGGTAGGGCGCCTGCTTTCCTTCAGTGTGAGGCCCATCCAGGGGATGGGAACCAAAAGCAAGTCTTCCTGGTCCACGTGCAGGTGAGTCCCGTCCGGCCTCCTGTCCACTCTGCTTGTAGATCACCTGGGCTCTAGGCAGACAGAGGCCGCCCTGATGCTCGGGGCCTGCCCCCCGGGCTCGGTGTAAACGGAAAGTGACGTGTCAGACACCCCATGCTCAGCTCTGTGCTCAGTGCTCTTCAATGGACATAGCCTCTGGGGAAGGGGTGCTGTCTGTTTCTGCGGAATAAGTCCCCTAACTAAGCACCGTGAAGCAACAAACACGTGGGATTCACATAGTGTTGGTGATCGGGAGCTCAGGGGGCATCCGCTGGTTCTTCAGGGATCCCAGTTTGGGTGCAGCCACGTCGGCCAGGATCCCCTGCTCTGCAGGCGTGACTGGCTGGGGGACCTGCTTCCGAAGTGCTGCTCGGAGCACTGCAACCGGGCGTGTCAGATGCTGCGGGGGCTGCTCCTTCCCCCGGGGTCCTCCCCGAGGCCTGCAGAGGGGTCTCACAGGGCCCCTGGCTTCCCCCGGAGTGGGTGATCCAAGAAAGAGGGAGGAAGGAGCACAGCATCTTTAATGACCTCGCCTTGGCGGTCCCCCCTGCTTACCCCTCCGCCGAAAGGGACCCCATGGGCGTGGATTCCCAGGGCGGGTATTGTTGGGGCCATCTTGGAGGCTAGCTCCATCTGGGAGCCCAAGCTCAGGGAGGCCGGCAGCTTACCCTGAGTCAGAGCTGTAAGGCCCAGATCTGACTGCTGCTACGGGGCCGTTAGCAGCTCTCCTGGGAGGCGAGGACAAAGTGAGTCCATCTTGCAGAGGGTTTCCTGGGCTTGGGAGGGCCTGCAAGCCCGGCTGAGGGTTTTGATAAAGCTACCTAGAGGGTAAGCCCTCCGAGCACGGCCTTATTTTCCCACTGCCCTCCCAGCTCAGCCGTCCTCCCATCACCCAGGCAGCCTGCACCTCACGCCCCTGGGGGGCCTGAGCAGGGGGCCTGGAACGGAGCCTGCACGTGTGATGTTTGCTCCCACCTGGAGATGCGTGGCCCTGGGTCCCACCTGCTGCCTCGGTCTCTCCGGGGCGCGCTTGGCCTCCGGTGAAGGTGGCAGTAGCAGGCACTGTCCATGGTGATCTAGGCCCTCCCCACATCTTAGCACAAGGGTCCTCCTGGGCCTGTGTAAGGTACCCCAGCGCAGTAAGACAAGCCCCCAGACCGAAAAGCCCCAGCCGGGACAAGTGGCAGAACCTTCCTTTTAGCCCATTTTAACAGCGAGGCAGGGCGTGCAGAGGCCTCGGCCTGCAAAGCCGCTGCTTCGGGAGCCCACGTGGCCTTCTCGTGCCTCCGGTGCGGGCTCCGCTGTGTACGCAGGCCGTGCCTGTGGCCTCCGCCCTGAGCCCGCACAGCCCCTGGGGAGCGGAGGCTGCCTGGGGGCCGTAGGGCTGGGACTGGTAAGAACGGCTCTGGGCTGGGCTGGGTGACAGCTGCCTCTGGGCCACGAAACACGGGGACGAGCGCTCCGGTGGGAGGAACAGCATGAGCACAGGCGCGGGGGTGGGAGGCCGGGCTGACCCGCCGTGCCCTGGCTTCCCCCGCAGCGGCTGTACAGCATGGACCTGCGGAGCGCCCACAAGGCCCAGGGCAAGGAGAAGCTCTGCTTCTCCCTGACGCGCCCGCTCAACAGCGGGAGCCCCGAGGGGGTGGTCAAGGCGGGGGCGCCCGAGCTGGAGGACAAGGGCCCCTTGGTGCCTGCCCTGCCCTTCCCGCTCCGCAAGCCCCGCAAGGCCCACAAGTACCTGCGGCTCTCACGCAAGAAGTTCCCGCCCCGCGGGCCCAGCCCGGAGAGTCACAGCCATCCACGGGAGCTCTTCCTGCAGGAGGCACCGGCGCCGGACGTCCTGCGGGCAGCCAGCGAGTGGGAGCCTGCCGCGCAGCCCCCCGGAGAGGAGGGTAAGGCGGCCCAGGCCCAAGACCCTCGGGGCTGGAAAGATCCCTGAGTCATCAGGTCCAGGTGGCCTAGTGCCCAGAGCGGGCACGGGGTGCTCGGAGGCCACACCGCCTGCCAGGACCCTGGCACCCGCCCAGGGCTTCCTGTGGTCCTGCCAGGAAAAAGAATGCCATGACCTCCTCCCATTGTCCAGTCCGCGCTGGCCTGGTCTGGCTGGAGACAGGATGGCCTGGTGCGAGGGGCGGGGATAGTCTGCATGCTGCCACCTGCTCCCACCTTCCCCGCCTGCTTGTCGGCGCTGTCCTCCAGCTGTCCGTCTGTCTTTCTCCCTCAGCAGTAGCAGATGCAGACCTGGCCGAGGGGCCCGCTCCCTGGACGCCCGCGCTCCCCACAAGTGAAGTGACAGTGACAGACATCACCGCCAACTCCGTCACCGTCACCTTCCGCGAGGCCCAGGCCGCCGAGGGCTTCTTCCGAGACCGCAGCGGGAAGTTCTGAGTCCCCGTGTCTGCCTCTCTCAGACTGCTTTCTTTGGGGCTCTGGGTGGGGACTTCCAGAGGTGGGGAGGGGCCTAGGGACGGGTAATTATTTTATTTAAAAATATGAAACGGGAGGAGGGGGAAGATCCCAACACTCTCCCACCACCCTCCCCTTTCCCTGTGGGTGATGTGTACAGAGAGGCCTCCGGGCCTGTTTCCGCAGGGCTGGGTGCCTGGCACTGCTCCGTCAGTTTGGACACCATCTCCAGAGCAGAATGGGGACAGGGCCACCTCCGGACACCTCCATCACCACTCTCCCCAGACAGCAGCGCCCAGCCCCAGGCCTGCTGCCTTTGCCTCTGGGATCCAGCCTGCGGGGTGTGGAGGCTGCCCTTTGCCAGAGGGCGGTCGGAGCTCCGGGGCCAGAGGAAGGTTAGAGATGGCTGCAGGGTCCCGAGTCTACCCTGAGAGGGGTCTCTCCTCTCGCTGGCGGCTGCCAGCAGAGGCCTCCTGCTGAGAGCTGCACCAGTCCCCCTCACAAGACGACCCCCCCCCCAGCCCCAGCTGCACCCGTGTGCACGCACCTTGCCCCCCTGCCCGTGAGTGTGTGCATGTAACTGCAGGCCTGTGCGACGGGTCCTGCAAACCTCCTGTTTAGAAACCCGATCAGGTGAATGTGAGGTGATCACAGCACAAAAGAACTTGCCCCGGGCACCACATGTTCACCCACCTGGCATGGCGGTCACGTGACCGGATCTGGCCCTACTCCCTTCGTTCCCTGGAAGCTGTGGGCAGGGTCTGGCATGGCAGGTGGCCCCTGCTGCACGCGTGTGGTGTGCGGCTTCGCCCGGCCAGCTGCAGCGTGGGAGCGCCTGCGGGGGCCTGCGCTTGGTCCCGGGGGACTCTGTTCTCTGACTCAGGTGACCTTTCAGCCCTTCCCCTCCCCTCTTCTGCCCTCTCCTCAACTCAGCCAAGGCGGGTGTGCGTGGTCAAGGAGGGAGGGAGTCCCCACCTTCTCAGGGCAGCCTCAACTCCCTCCGCCCCGCCTCCTGCATCCTGTGCCCCCTGTGCCCCCCTCCATGCCCAGGCGGGGCTGGCCTGTGTCTTCCTGCGGGCGGGGGCAGGCTGTGCACCAGCCCCAGGCCGCCCTCCAGCACCGGCTGTCTGCCAGCGGAGGGCACTCACTTTCCAGTGTGCCCTGTGGACTGGTAGCTCCCCTGGCCGTGAGGAGTGGCTTCTGCCTCATCCCAGCCCTGCAGGCAGGAAAGGCCACCAGGCTGGCCCCGCACCCTTCCGCCATTCCGCCTGCCCTCCAGGCCGCCCTCCCGCTGTGTCCTGAGGCAAGGATAGGGCTGTCCCTCCCCAGTTCCCAAACCAAAGACACCGCACCCCGTTCTGTGTTGGGTGCCCCGCGGGCAAGATTCTCAAATCCCTGGTCCCTCGCCCCTTCCTCACCCCTTTCTTCACTGTCCAGGGTAATTCAGTGCTTCCATTGGGGCCAGTCCCTGCTCAGGGACTTGATCACATCCCAGCCTGGGAGTTGAATCTAGAGGCACGTGGGTGGGTGGGGCAGGGGGGCAGGGAAAGGCAGCTGGAGTAGGGACCTTCCCAGGCCCGGCTCCCAGCCGAGGCGCTGGAGAGGGTGGGCTGGGAGGGCTCCGTTGAATGCTGTTTGCTCACGACTTTGGGACAGGCTGGCAGCTTCCAGCATAAGTCGCCCTCATTCCCCAGGGACACAGGACCTCGTCCTGGCTCAGGGGCCTCCCGGAGAGTGTGTTAGGTCCGCACCACGGGGGCCAGGCTGAGAGACGGAGTTTAAGGAGGAGGTTCTCGCAGCGGAGCGCCCTGTGCGGTGTCGGCGGGGAGAGCTCGTGTTCCCTCACAGGCTGCGGTCAGGGCCGCGTCCCGCAGGGAGTCGCCCGGACAGGAAGTCCTTGGAAGATAGCAGGGTGTGGGGCGTGCCCCAGCCAGCAGGGGAGTGTACCTTATCTTGCTTATCTGCAGGTGCAGGCTGTTTGCTTCAAGCTACGGGAAAACACAACAATATATCTCAGAACATGCGCCCCAGGAGGAGCGGGCAGTGCGTCCCCATAAGCTGCCTGAGCGATTTGCAGAACCGGGGCTTGGGGCCTGTTGGGATGAGGCAGCAGCAGCCAGACCCTCTTGCCTCTGACTCAGCCCTTCGCGGCCCACAGTGTCCTGTGTCCCGGGGAGGGCTGACACCTGCAGAGCCTGCTCCCTGGGAAGGCTGTGGCCTGTTAGGCCCCGCCCCCAGCACATAGACCTCTGGGAGGGGTTGGGTGTGGCTGCCTCCCAGCCCTGAGTGTCCCCCACTCCCACCTCGCCTCGCGTCCGCACTGAAGGCCAGTACAGGGAGTGGATGCTTCCGGAGACTGGACCTCCTGCCTCCCTGCTCCCCCCCCCCCCCCCCATTTGAATGTAGTTGGTACTTTTTTTCGCCGTGGGTTCGGGCAGGAGATGGTCCTCCACCCCTGGCAAGGCCACTCCTGATGCTGCGGCCGAGCCCATGATCTTCGCCCATGGATCCCATTGCCAACTCCCCCTCCTCCCCACTGGGAAGGCACTATGCTTCTGGGTAGCTTTGGCCTTAAAAGTGGCCAGCCTGGCCTCCGGGTCTCAGCACAAGAACGCTTCCTTTGCACAGAATGAGCAGTGAGCTTTGTTCAGACGAAATGAATGTATTGGGAGGGCTGGCATGGACCGTCCCAGCACGTGCCTCTTCTGAGCGGGGGTGTGCCGGGCAGAGCCGGATGGATGCAGAGCTCGGGTTTATTTTTGTACTGATATTGGTAACAGACTGTATAGCATCTATTTATTTAGATGATTTATCTGATAAATGAGGCAAAAATTATTAAAAACACATTAAAGTTGATTTTTTAAAAGGTGACTGGGCACTGGTTCCTCCTTTGAGGGCGTCACAGCTGTGGGGAGGGGCGCTCCGCCCCCAGGGCTCAGTGGCGGAGCATGAGCCTGAGCAGGCCAGTGTCTGTGACTTCAGATGAGAGGGAAGCATAGGCTGGTACCGGGGGAAGTGGTTGGGAGTGGAAACCAGTGTAGATGGCTACATGGCCACCTTTGAGGTCGGGGTTCGAGGGGAGGTGTGGATAGGTGGGTTTGCCAAGGGTGTGCTTCCGTGGCCCCTTACTTCGTGGTGGGTGGGCAGGCTGGCCTTGCTGGCAGTTCCTAGATGACTCCCGGCAGAGAGTGGGGACTTAGCATGCCTTGGCCTTAGCTTTGAGCGTTGGCCTTAATATTGGGTCCTCAAGAAAAGTCCCGTGGGCAGCCTGGTACTAAGGCCCACCCTGCCCCTCCGCATGTTTCCTGGGCACAGCCTTCTGCGCGGGCACAACTGCATCCATGTTCCTGGCATTTCACAGCGGCCAGAGCGGCTCTGGCCGGAGACAAAGCTCTGCGTCCTCAGCCCTTATCTTCTCGAGGCAGGAATTCCAGCGGAGACAGCCAGCAGCAAAAGCAGGTGCACCTTTACTCTCAGGAAAGTCTTAGCGGGCAATGCAGGTGCCCCACTGAGGTGGGAGTTGGGGAATGTATACCCCTAGGCTGGAGCGTCCCCAAGCAAGCCTTATTTCTCAAAAAATATGTATACTGAGTGGCCAGATTATGATGACCTCTGAACGCATAATAATCTGGCCACTCAGCGTATATCATATATAGTAAAAGGCTAATATGAAAATTGTCCCCTCAACCAGGAGTTCAACCAGCAGGCAGGCCGGCCAACTGCCCATGTCTCTCCCGCCCTCCTCCCTCCCTCCCCCAACCCCGACCGTGCTAGCCAGACCCCACCCATGCACGAATTCATGCACTGGGACTGCTCAGAGATCATCATAACCTGGCCACTCAGTGTACATCCCAGGCCATGAGGCTCCTCCCCCAGGTGTGCTCACTGGTTATTCCCCTTCCCGGAGCGGCTCTCACGGCTCTTCTCATGTACCGGCCTGTCGACTTCTTATCTCATTTCGGTGTGTCGTGTCTCACACGTATGCCCTCCCAGCCCTGGCGCCTTACCAGATCTCACAGGTGGAGACAAGCACGTAGGATAGTTATTACTCCAGGCCGCACAGCCAGAAAGTCCTCAGCCAGGAATGTGAACCGTGTCTCCTACAACAGCCCCTTACCCACAGTTTCACTCCCATGGCTGTTACTCACAGTCACATTTGGTCCGAGAATAGTAAATGGAAACTTTCCGAAATAAACATTTCATCTCGGCTGGTGTGGCTCAGGGGCTGAGCCTCAACCAGTGAGGTCGCCGGTTCGATTCCCAGTCAGGGCACACGCCCAGGTTTCCGGCTTGATTCCCAGCAGGGGTCATGTAGGAGGCAGCCAATCGATGTTGCTGTTTCTCTCCTATCGATGTTTCTCTCTGTCTCCCTTCCCTTCCTCTCTCTCTCTCAAATCAATAAAAACATACCTTTAAAGAAAGAAATAAACAATTTATAAGCTTTAAATTGCGTGTCTTTCTGAGTTGCGTGATGAAGTCTTTGGCCTTCCCTGAGTGCCATGCCCAGGTCACGGGTCCCCCCTTGGCCCCGTGCTTCTGCCCTGTGCAGGCAGCCAGCCCCAAGGTCAGCACCTTATACCCATCACACAGATGGGGAGGCCGAGGCTCCAGGGCAAGGCCTTGCCTGACAGACACCTCCCAGCTGCTGGTGGCAGAGCCAGGTGCCAGGAATCTCACCCAGGCCTGTGATGCTGCCCATCTCTCTCCAGGGTCACAGCCACTTTGCTCCAGGCCGCACAGCACTGGGAACGGGAAGAGCTGTGGGACAGGGACCCTCGTCTTTAAAGGCAGGAGCAGTGAGAACTGGTCCTTGGAATGGGCAGCAGGAGACGTCCTGGGGGAGACTCGACAAGAAGGGGCCCGAGGGCAGAGAAAGGGCCTCCCATGTACAGTCGGGAGCCTGGCTCGTGCTGTTTCCCAGCTGGGAGGCTCCTGGACAAGCCCCACAGCTCCTCAGAGCCTCAGTTTCCCCATCTGTCAGATGACCCTCAGGCCTGCCTCCGGAGGTGACCAGAGGGACGGGGTGAGGAGACGGTCCGCACCGGACAGGTCAGGGTTTCGGGGAGCTGCAGGATGCGGCTGCCTGCTGGCAGGAGCTCAGTGCCTCTGGCCTCTCACAGCAGCGGGAATGGCTGGTGCTGCTCACAGGGCCCCACGCCAGCAGGAGGACATGCTGCCCAGGCTCCCCGCTGAGAGCCCTCCTCCCGGGTGTGGGAGGAGCTGCCCGTCACTAACACCCTGGAGCTGAGCGGAGCGCTGGCAGATGTGGGGGACGGAGCCCTGGTGGCTTTGCCCAGGCCAGCAGCTAGGAGGGGTAGAGTGGGGAGGACCAGAACCAGCTTCCCTGACTCCAAAGCCACCCATCAGACCTGGCCTTTCTTTTTTTAAAATATCTTTTTACTAGAGGTCTGGTGCAAGGATTAGTGCACAGGGGTCCCTCAGCTGGCCCAGGCCCTCTAGCAATCCGGGAGGCACCCGGCCAGGAAGGGATCACGCTAGGTCTCCAATGGGTGGCCAGGCTTCTGGCCCAGTCCCCAGTTGGACAGACCCCAGCTATAAGCAACCTACTGGTCAGAGCATCTCCCCCTTAGTGGTTAGTTCATGTCATAGCAATTGGTCAAAGGGTGGAACAGTCGGACACTTAGTATATTAGGCTTTTATATGTATAGATTGATTTCAGAGAGGAAGGGAGAGAGAGATGGAAATATCAATGGTGAGAGAGAATCATTGATCAGCTGCCTCGTGCACACCCCACATTGGAAAATGAGCCCACAGCCTGGGCATGTGCCTCTACTGGGAACTGAACCCTGACCTTCTGCCTCATAGGTTGAAGCTCAATTACAAAGCCACACTGCCCAGGCCCTAGTCTTAACAGATTACCTCAAACTGGTGCTCATATGCTAGGGGAGGATAGGTTACTCTGAGGACAAGGTTCTTGTTTTCCCCGTTTTCCCCTTGCTAGGTATTAGGGTTTTGGCTGGTGATAATGCAGGCTGTGAAAGAATTCACAACTGGGTGAAGGAGATAGATACTGAGAGAAAGAGAGTTTATTTAACTTTTCCTGAAGGGAAAGAAACGGTGCATTGCTAATCAAAACAAGGGCAAGTAATAAGCACTGGCCTGCTCTTTTAAAAGGCAATGGCTGCTGTTGTAGGTGACAAGGAATCAGGGGGTGGGGGGTGGATTTGGGGCTGGGACAGTCTGGCAGCTATCTTATTAGTATTTTTCCCAAACCTGTGAAACATGCCTAGAGTAAAAGTTAGGAAAAGCTAAAATGAGGCTTGTTTGAAGAGGACAGGGGAAGGGAACTTTCTACTAACTAGTGACTTGCTGGTGCAGATTATCCTGGAGTTGTAAAATCAGCAGGGAGGAGGGGTATGCAAGAATGTAGCTTTGAAAGTAGCTTGTCTTATAGTTTGAGCAGAGGGGCTGTTTGAATGAGAGGAGCTAACAATCTTGGGTTTTGGTTACCAGGTGCTTCTCATTAATTGTGGAAGGCCACAGCAAGGGCAAAGAGGCCTTTTTCTTGTCCTCATATGCACACTAGGCACCCAGGGCTTTCTTCCCTGGTGTTTCCATACCCAGACCGTCATCTCTGCTCTGCTCATGCCTGTCTAACACCATCCCTAGGTGGCAGCTCCTCCAGAGCTACCCTTCTGGCAGCGATTTGGGAATGGATAAGGGAGGAGCAGAGCGAGGGTGGGGTGCGATGAGGACAGGGTGAGAGGGGCTCCTGGGGAAGCAGTCTGGAATGGAAGCAGGTGAGTCAGGGTCAGCTTGGACATAACCTGGGAGACAGACACACACGACAAGGCTCCTGCTTTTCCTGCACCATTCACTCAGAAAGGTCCTCCGTCATTGTATGGGCTGAATTGTGTCTCCTCACCCCAAATTGACATGCTGAAGTCCTCAGAAGGTGACTATCTTTGAGTCAAAGCCTGTAAAGGGATTCAGTTTAAATGAGACACTTAGGGTGGGCCCTGACCAAATCTGACTGATGTTCTTACAAGAAGAGAAATTTGGACACTTACCGTGTTTCCCCGAATATAAGACATCCTCCAAAAATAAGACTAAGTGCATGGAAAGATAAGACATCCCCTGAAAATAAGACTTAGTGCAACTTTGGGAGAAAATATTAATATAAGATACTGTCTTATTTTTGGGGAAACAGGGTAGAGAAACATGAGGGACTCACCAAGGGTCATACTCTAAGGAAAGAGCATGGGAAGACAGAACAAGGAGGCAGCCATCTGCAAGCCAGAGAGAGAGGCCCCAGGGGCAAGCAACCTGCCGACACCTCTATCTTGGCCTTCAAGCCTCCGGAACTGTGAGGGTCTAAGTGTCTGTTGCTAAGACCCTCCCCTGTGGAGTTGCTACTGAATCACCTCCCAAAATCCAGGTTTGTGTGTCCGATGAGGTCATAGCCAAAACACAGAGACACCGGTGCTTGAAGACAGAGGAAGGTTTATTGGGTTTGGCCAAAGAAGAGGACAGCGAGATCTCTCAAATGTGTCCTCCCCGAAAAGCTAAAGTCAAGGGTTTTTATGCAGCGAGGGGCCTGGGGAGGGGAGCTTCAGAGAAGCTGAAGAGAAATCCGTGCTTCTTCAGTGTTAGATAGGGCTTCTCCATTTCAGCTCCAGGAGCCAGCCGCTTGGAGACATCTTTCCGTCCCAAAAATAAAGCCATGGATTCTCCTCAGTCCCTGAGGAGACAAAAAGACAGACACGTTAGCAACTTGTGAGGACCTTCCTGAGAACAAAGGGAGTTGAGCAGGAAGAGTTTTGCCACATGAAGAAAAGCTTCAGTAAGCATAGCTGCTCAGCCCACCCTGTGTGGTTCAGTGGTTGAGCAGTGGACTCTGAACCAGGAGGTCACGGTTTGATTCCCCCTTCAGGCTCAATCCCTAGTGTGGGGAGTGCAGGAGGCAGCTGATCAATGGTTCTCTTTCATCATTGATGTTTCCATCTCTCCCTTCCTCTCTAAAATCAATAATATATATATATATATATATATATATATATATATATATATATATATATATATATATATATATAATTTTATTTTTTTAAATACCTGCTTAAAAGACTAGGGGCATTAACACCACAGGGGCTGGGCTACAGTTTGTTACTAAGGAAGCCTTAGCAACCGAATGCAGTCATTCTCTTCTCCTCAGTCTTCTGATGGCCACACTCATACACATCATGACCACTTGTGTTCGGTTTAGTAACATATGATTAATGTGGCGAGATGGGAGGCCCATGGAAGGGGGAGCACCTTTGCCGGGGGAGAGAGAGGCGCTCAGGGGTGGAGGGAGGAAGGCTTGGGGGGGAGGCACCTGAAGGAGCAGAGAGGTTCAGAACCCAAGTGAAGGTCTTGGGAGGTAAGTGGTGTCTGTGTTGGGGGGGGGGGTGGCGGGGGACTGAGGAAACCCCTACCAGAGGATTTCATCAAGCTTCTGCTGCAGACTATAATAATTTCGATGCACATTCTTCCAGTACTTAAAAGGCCTTCCCCCGTGGTACACAAAGTTATCCCAGCAGTATTTAAAATCTGCAGTAAAGAGGGGAGAAAGCAGGCAGGTCAGCCTAGGAGGCTTTCTCTCCTGAGCCTCCCCTGGGCAACCCCACTCAGGGCCCAGGTTCCTCCTTGCCAGGTGTCATCACTCCTGCCTCAGTTTCCCAAGTTCCCCTGCCACTCACTCTCCCTGGGGACTTCTACCTGCCCCCCCCCCCTACACTCCCATTCCTGCCCAGATCCCTCGGCTCTCACCCTCTGGGGCCATCATGGCCACCTGGGCCCCTGCATCCACCAGATCTCGAAGCCCCTGGTCATCTTCGTTCTCATAGTAGAGGCGGGCGGCGGAGAGGCTCAGGTCCACGTTCATGTTCCTCTCCAGGAACTGAGCCACCTGCTCTGCACACTCCAAGCAGGGGCTCCAGGATATGAACTAGGTGACACGGTATTGCACATGAGGAGACAGAACCACGTCACAGAACCAATCCAGGAAGCAGAGTTCTGCGTGGCCAGGATTCAGCTGGGAGAGATGAAGAGAGAGGACCCTCGTGACATTAGCAGGCATGTGACAGAGGAGACATGTGACAGAGGAGACATGTGACAGAGCAGGCATGTGACAGAGGAGACATGTGACAGAGGAGGCATGTGATGGGAGGCATGTGACAGAAGGCATGTGACAGAGCATGTATGTGACAGAGGAGGCATGTGACAGAACATACATGTGACAGAGCAGGCATGTGACAGAGCAGACATCTGACAAAACAGGCATGTGTCATGACTGGGGGCTGGGTACCAGGGGACAGGGAGCAATAGTCTTAGGGTCATGTTGTTGATTATCCCAATTTATTTTTTAAAAATATGTTTTTAATGATTTTTATTTTTTAATTTTTTTTTTATTGATTTCAGAAAGGAAAGGAGAGGTAGAGATGAGAGAGATCATTATTGGCTATTTCCTGCATGCCCCACACTGGGGATCAAGCCCACAACCTGGGCACGTGCCCTTGACTGAAATCAAACCCAGAACCCTTCAGTCCGCAGGCCTCTATCCACTGAGCAAACCAGTGAGAGCTATTAAAAAAAATATATATATATATATATATATATATATATATATATATATATATATATTATTGATTTTTTTACAGAGACGAAGAGAGAGGGATAGAGAGTTAGAAACATCGATGAGAGAGAATCATCGATCAGTTGCCTCTTGCACTCCCCCTACTGGGGATGTGCCCACAACCAAGGCACATGCCCTGGACCGGAATCGAACCTGGGACCTTTCAGTCCGCAGACCGACGCTCCATCAACTGAGCCAAACCCGTTTCAGCAGGTGAGGGCTATTTTTATTGATTTTTAGAGAGAAGAATGGAAAAGGGGAGATAGAAACATTGATGAGAGAGAAGCATTGAACAGCTGCCTCCTGCATGCCCCTCACTGGAGATCAAATTTGCAGCCTGGGATTGTGCCCTGAATGGAATCTAACGGTGACCTCTTGGTACAGGATGTTCAGCCACTGAGCATCCCCACAGAGCAATTCACCCCTTTGGAAACCCCTCCCCGCCCCAGTGTTTTACTGACTCATCCCTTCCCACCTCATCCATGAACTCCGACACCCGCCCTCCCATTCTCTCATTCTACAAGCTTTGGGGGTGTCTGCTCCAGGCCAGGCCGCTGGGGCCAGGCTTGTTCCCGGGTGCTGCCTGCCGGGAGGGCCCAGGGCCGTGCTGCCACAGGCAGCCACTGGCACAGGGTCTCCTGCGCTCTTGATGTGCTCGCCTGCATGGATGTGTGCGACAAACACGGAACACACACCTCGTCTCCGTGACATAGTATGAATGAAGAATGCAAGCTATCTCGTGAACTATTATATGAACTGCTGGAGGTCTGATGCATGAAAATCCGTGCAAGAATAGGCCTTCCTTTCCCTGGCTGCTGCCACGGGCTTCCTCAGGCACCCAGGACCCGGGCTTCCCTCCTCCTCCGGCTGCTGGCAGGCACCTGGGACCTGGGCCCCAGCTTCGTCCGGAAGGACTTCTAGTCTAATTATTGTAGCATATTATCCTTTTATATTATAGATATGTTGAAACACTATCTTCGATATATTACTAAGTACGTTATCAACATTAAATGGATCGATTTCTCTGAACGTTTGCACACCGGGTACTAGAAAACATTAAATGGATCGATTTCTCCGAACGTTTGCACACCGGGTACTAGAAACATTAAATGGCCTAAGTGACCCGATTACCTCCCATGGAGAAGTACTGCCCCAGGGACACCCCTCCATCCCATAAGCGCTCTGAATAGTCTGCAGTCCGGGTGGAGGAGGGACGGCTGTGTGGTGGGCATTTCACAGGAGACATTGCTGCTTGCTCAGAGCGGGCTGGGGCACACAGGATGCGGGTGTGGGTGCTGCCCTGGGGATCCACATCCTGGGCCTGGAGGCGGCAGAAAGTAGCTGGGGGGGTGGGGGGAGGGGGCACAGCCAGCAGAGCACTTCCGAGGCCCCATAAGGCTCTGGCGCACAGCGGGCCCTACTGTCCTAGACCCTCTTTCCTCTCTTTTCTCTTCTTTCAATCAACATTTTAATAGCAAAGATACCATTTCTAACATGGTCAAGTATACTTGGCTAAGCCCGGATTTTTAAAAACACAAGTATCTAGTCAAAGAGTATGACCGCCTAGCTTTGTACAGAACATCCCATAGGTCAACAGAAAATACATCTGAGCACCAAAATATTTGGACTCTCTAAAGAGACTCTCTAAGCAGCATTTTATTTCTGCAGAACAGACATATACCTTATACTGATTTAAAAAGCACTGGTAGATAAGTACATATAGTCTTAGCAGACTAAGTCATTAACAATAACCTGGTAACCTTTCACTCCGATTTGGATGATTCATAAGCTAAATCTTACAACCACAACAAGATTTTTTATTGGCATTAAGATGTTACCACGTTTGACAAAACAAAAAATCCAAAACACAAACAACTTAAAATATTTTCTATTTCAAAGGAAAATCAGCAACGCAGCTGTGCACCGTACTCTACGGTGGTTTTGTCTCATGTGAGGGCTACTCTACCGAACAGGGATGCTCCCCGGGGCTGCCCCACGGAGGGCACAGCAGGCCCGGCTCCCTCACGGGCGCGTGTCCTGGACCACAGCTTCATAAGGACACGTAGGCCCCCACCCCGTTCTAAAACTCACAGCAAGGAAAACTGACCCCAAACAACGTGAGGCTGGTCCCACTACATTTCCAACCCCTGCTCCACTGGACCGACGGTGGATAAATAATCTGTTTGCTAACTCTACTGTTGCCGAGAAACATGTAATTTTCAGTTGCACTCAAATCATTTCTTAGTCCACGGAGCCCTGGAAGTTGGAAGAATACCAGACCTTCTAGGTGTGAAGACAATGAACATTGGAGAGCATTGCTGAGCAACTCTCAGAGCTGGCTCCTAGGAAAAGGGGATGACAGACACACAGACACCTCTAAAAGAGCATTGAAAATTAAATTATTTATGTGTAATTTCATAACTTTCCTGGAAAGGAAGTGCGCAAGCATTTTAAGCGCAGTAAAAGACAAAGAAGAAAACACATGATAAGTGACAACCACATTTCCCTGGGAAGAGAGTCACTTTTCAGTTATTGGGGAAATGCCATTGCTGTAGGAGAGCAATAGTGAAACCTCTGTGATGTGTATTTAAGTATATTTTAATGAGCTTTCAAGCTCATGTTTTTCCATCAAAACTCTGCTGAATTAGGTCTGGCAAGTCAACCCAGCATTGGTTGGTCATTTTGTGCTTTCAAAGGGTTCAGAATATTTTTCAACCCTTTATATGCCCGGTCTGGCAGACAAGCTATGTTCCTTAGTTTGTGTGTTTGTGTGTGTGTGTGTGTGTGTGTGTGTGTGTGTGTGTGTGTTTGTGTATGTGTATCTTCATTTATAAGTAGAGGCCTGGTGCATGAAATCATGCATGGTTGGGATCCGGTTGGCCTGCCACCATTGGGGCTGATTGGGGTGGGACCAGCTGGAGGGAGGGGCCAATGGAGGTTGGCCACCCACACCCTCCTTTAGGGTAGTGGGGGCTGATCAGGGCCGCAGCGTGCATCAAAGCAACTAGTTGTTCTGTGTTCTAGTCGCTCGGCTTTTATATATATATATAGCCTAGAGGCCTAGTGCATGTATTCATGCACTGTTGTGGGTTTGTGGCCTGCAGGGATGGGCCTACTGTAGAAGTGATACTCATCCTGGTCAGCCAAGCTGTGCTCCCACTCTGGGAGCGCACTGACCACCAGGGGGCATCTACTGTGTTAGGCGTTTGCCCCCTGGTGGTCATTGTGTGTCATAGTGACTGGTCGACCAGGCGTCTTGGTCATTCCATTCAGTTGCTGGGCTTTCATATGAGGGATAGCATTTCACGTTTTTATGGTTCTAATCCAGTTATTTAACGTTATGGTAAACACATTCATTTTTGCAATTCTCCTACAACCAACATCTTGAGTATCAAGCTTAGCCTGTGGGAAATTTCTTATGATAAGCCACAGCACATAACAGAGGCTGCTATACGGCCTATCAGAGAGACGTCAGGATGTGAGCGTTACCGCTGAGGCAGCCCACAGCTTGAGCTCCCAAGGAGAATGGGGTAAGAAGAGTTCTCACTTTGTTGTATGTATGATCTTGTGAAAGAAAAAAGCCACATGCTAACCTGACAAGCTCAGGGAAGGCCTGGGTGGCAGTCTTGCAAACTCAGAGACCTAAGATAACCACAAAAGATGGTTTGGAAATTAAATATCTAACAGGTTATAGTAGGTAGTCATGTCCCAGATATTTTCCCAGATAAAGATCAACTTCAATCTTTTTACTGAGCCCATTTGCCTTTTTGCCTCTAAGATAACATATCTGTGAGATGTCTGGGTAACTTGTAACTTCCCTTTTTCTGGAGCCCCTGGGGCACAACCAAATGTGGTGGGCGCCAGGACAGATGCCTCAAATTCCTTCTTTATCATGTTAATTGTTCCTGCACTCACCTGAGTACACCTCCATCATTTTACTTTTTATCCAATCCCAGGAGTTTCCCACCGCTTTGCTTTCTCCCGCCTCCTTACTCCATCACCAATGAATTTCATGTAACCCACCTATGTCCCTCCTTTGATTTCAGTGTATAAATAGAGAAATGTAACCCGCCATTCTTTGGAGCATTATTTCAATCCGTTGAGGTTCTGCTTCCCGGCATATGTCGACAGTTTTGGCTCAAATAAACGCATAAAAAAATACAGGTTTCAATGTTTTGTTTTGTTTCCGTTAATAATCTCAATCTGAGACCCATTTTGTTAACGTGGCTTACTGGTGGAGTTCCAATAACAAAAGAGCAATCACTGAGAAGCAGGACAGGGAGATGAAACAGGCCTTTATAAAAATTTTGCTTTTGAATATGGAAAAAGCATTTATGCATGTGAGTCCAGTCGAATGTACACTTTTCTACACAATAAGCCTGGCAGCACTTTTACCGGAGCTTAGGTGCTCTTTCCTCCAGACAGCTCAAGACGAGGGAGCCCTGAAGGCCAGCAGGCTCGCTAGAGGACGCCTCGTGGGTAAGTCAAAGGCCATCGTCTATGGCAGCACCACCCACCTTCAGACCTCACACCCCCAGCTCCATGGACCACCGGCTGGCAACTGCTGGTCTACGGCGATCGGGAGGGTCAGGCAGGGCATCCGGGGTAAAACGCAGGACAGAGTTGTGGGAAGAAGCTCTGGCATTTTACATATTGTCATCTCCCACCTCCTTCCCTGGCTGAGCTCCTGCCTCTGATGGTCACATCGTGGGGCACATACCTGGTTTCGAAAGACACCCTTCAGAGAGTTAAGAAATGAGCCATTCTTCCATCTTTCCACCTCGAAGCAGAGGAAGGTAGACTTCCGCCCGTAGGAATTTATGTTTTGGAAGTTGAAGTCGAAGATCTTGGGATACAGTCTTCTCATTCGATTGCAGGGGGCAAGAAAGAAAACCGAAAATTCAGTGCTCCCTCCAGTTTCTCCATCTGGTGACTCCAGAACACCATGGAGAGCCTGGGCACCTGCCTCCCAATAACCCCTTCCCTCCAGCATTTCCTGCTGCCTCCAGGCAGGAAGCTGGGAGAGAAGAGGCAGGGACAGTGGGCAGGGGGATGGGGTAGAAGCGGGGGCTCCTGTCCTCTCCCTTAGGGCCGGCTCTGCTGCTTCCAACAGCACATCCCCCCTCCCTCCCGCCATCATTTCAATTCAGAAATGAGGAATAGAACGGCTTCCACCCCCAAACACTGGGTTTTCATGCTGAGGTGGAGCTCATGCCTGACCTTCACCTCTGCACGTTTCTGATTATTTTTTAATGTCAGGCTCACACCTACACTCCCAGGTCTGGCTCCTGCTCTGAGTCCTGGAATCTGAGCTCCTCTGCTCCTCCCCGAATCCAGGGGCCTCACCCCATTTCACAGAGGAGGACACGGGGCACGAGGCTCAGGGCTGCTAAGTGACAGAGCCGGTCCCTGCCCAGGCAAAGCCATGCCCAGCCCCGGCATGAGGCCAGCTGGCCGCGCTGGCCCTCCTGGGTGAGCGGCTCTTCCTCCCTCGTTGTCAACGGCATTCCCCCCGGGGGTGACTGCCAGCGCCCGGCGGGCGAGTCTCTGGGACAGTCTGACCTGGCTCTCCTGCTCCCGGAGCCGGCAGCTGGGGAGACAGGTCTTCCTCCTGCTCAGCGAGCTCCTCTCCCTCCGTGTGGATAACGGGGCAGTCTCACAGAGAGTGGATCCTGTGCTCCAAACCCCATGCCCAGTGCTCCCCTCATCCTTCAAGCAGTTCTGATGGCCAAGAGGGCCCGGGAAAGGCCACAGACCAGGGACCCCACAGGCGGGTGTGTGTGTGTGTGTGTGTGTGTGAACAGCCAGCCCCACAAGTGCAGAGTGAGAGGAGGGCCAAGGGGACAGCAGGCCTGGGGGAGGGCCGGGAGGGCCATTCAGAAGCACCGGTGGGGGCAGCCCCAGGAGAGGGCATGGCCCCGGGGAGTGGGACTGAGAGGGCAGGGCGGGGCGAGGATGAGCTCCCAACTCTGCCCCGCAGGGCGGGGTTATCCCTAGCCCTCAACCAACCAATCAGGGTTAGCCGAGGCAGTGACATCCCCACCGACCGGAGTAAAACCCCTGGACTGGGAGAAGTTCGCTCTCTCTTCCGCCATGCTGCAGGCGTGGGTGGGAGGGGCCCATGCTGGCATGGAACAGGCTCTTTTGTTTATTGCGTCGGACTCGGCTCCCTGGTGGTCCTTTGGGATCACGAAGTCTGGGCGTAACAGGACCTGCAGAGAAGGAGCCCAGAGAGGGGGAGAGGCCAGGTGGCTCAGGGGGACAAGGCTGAGGACAGAGACCCCTCAGGGCGCCCACGTAGAAAGGGCTGCAGGAAGGGCAGGGCGCGGGCAGTACCTGGGCCAGGGCATGGGAGCGGAGTGTCTCCTGGGCCTGGCTCTGGGTCCCGGTGCTGACACAGCATTTCTGACTCAGGCCCAGGTGTTAGGAAAGCCCCTTGATGGAGAACCTTCTGCCTTCTCAGCTGAGGCCCCACCTGCTTCCTGCTTTGGCAGCAGGGTGGGCGGGCCCTGGGGTGTGACCTTGCTCAGCCTCATACCCCCCTCCCCTCCTCCTCTGGGGCCGCCCTCTGCACAGTGCTGACCTGCTGGAGACAGGGCCTCTGGGCAACAGGACCAGGCTGCCTGCAGAGGGGAAGGGAAAGGGATGGTGGAGAGAGGGGATGGGCCTGCACATCAGGGGCAGATGTGCATTGAGTTCACGTTTGCAAGGGCTCATTGAACTGTTTGGACTTCATGAAACACTTACAGAGGAAAAGACATTTAAAAATATATATTTTGTTAATTTTTTACAGGGAGGAATAGAGAGTTAGAAACATCAATTAGAGAGAATCATTGATGAGCTGCCTCCTGCACACCCCCTACCTGGGATTTTTTATAGAGAGGAAGATAGAGGAATAGAGATTTAGAAACATTGATTAGAGAGAATTATCGATCAGCTGCCTCCTGCACACCCTCTAATAGGGATGTGCCCACAACCAAGGTGCCAGGAACCTAAACCTAGCATTGTCACTGGAGATAAAATGTAAAAAGAGTTAGCCAACCTTGATGGCTCTGAATGGTCAGAGCTATTAACTCATTGTCTAGTTGAGATAGTGGTGCTTGAGGCAACTTTAATTTGTTAATCATATGTAAATGTAAGTTGATTTTCTGCTGTTGGAACTTCCCGCCTAAGAGATGTCTTTGTTTCAGAATCTCAGTAAAAGGAATGGTAAAAGGCCAGAGAGTGGTTAGTCTTCCCACTAGCGGTGGACTTCCCGCCTGGCCCCCATTTTCCCAAATTAACTAACTCTTTTCCAGTCTCTCTCTTCATTTTAGTGTGCGGCCTTCTCCAGAAGCCGGACCCTGAGTGGGCCCTGAACCACGCGGGTCCTGTTAAGGGATCCCACACCAAGGTACATGCCTTTGACCTGAATCGAACATGGAACCTTTCAGTCCACAGGCTGACGCTCTATCCACTGAGCCTAAATGGTTTTGGCAGGAAAAGATATTTTGTGGAAGGTTCTTAATCTTTCATGTTATTGTTTTCTATTTAAAATCAATGTAAATGATTAATCCCCTAGATATGATTCTGATGCTAAGAAATCGAATGGTACCGGTGTGTGTTTGGAACACATCACTGGTCTTAAATAACAAGTAAATGGATCCGATTTTTAAAAATTCCTCAGTGGAGTTGTTCCAAGATGGCTGACAGGTAAACACCTAGCCGCAGCCGCACACAACAATTTCAATAAAATACAACTAAAATATAAAATGGACATTACCCAGAACTACAGGAAAGTCGACTGACTGGAAATTCTACAACGAGAAGCAAGGAGAAAGCCAGAAGGAAGTGTGGAGGAGCTGTAAGAGCCTAAGGTACGAGCTGTAAGAGCCTAAGGTACAGAGACACGCAGCGCGCATGGAGAGGACAGAGCCGGAGAGGAGGGGGGCTGATTACCTGGCTGGCGTTCCCTAGTGGGAAGGAGATAAAAGCTCCGACTGTGCTGGGCCCCAGTTCCGACTGTTCTGAACCCCAGTACTAGGCCAGACCCTGAGGACCCAGGTTCAAACAGAGGGAGCTGGGCTGTAAGGCGGAACCCCGGGGGAACGGCAAAAGGAGGACCCAGAGGCGTGCACATTGCGGACAGAGAAGGGACGGTCAGCTGTGCCATGGGATTGCCCTGGGGGAAGGAGACAGGGGCTCCAGACTGCTTTGAACGCCACCTCCAACTCCACTTCCAACTGAACTGAACCCCAATACCGGGCTCATTGGGGGAGAGCCTAGACTGTTTGGCAGCAGGCGAAAATGGAGGGCACCTTTCTCTCAGAGGCGCTTGCAATGAGTACTGAAGGACCCGCATAGGGCGGGGCTGACAGAAGCCAAAGCTGTAGGCTCCACCCTGAAATCCCGCCCCATCCAAGCAGAACACAGAGACTTTTAGGCTACCAACTCAGGGAAGCTGCAAAAATGCTGAGACAAAATAGATCACAAACGAAAGAAATGGAGGACAAAAAGCAAGTGGATATAGAGTTCAAATCTATGCTTATAAGGTTTTTCAAGAATTTCCTAGAAAAGATGGATAAGACCTATGAGGATATGAAAAGGGATCAATTAGAATTAATAAGGAATCAACAAGAAATGATAAGGGATCAACAAAAAATAAAGAATACATTGACTGAAATAAAAAATATTATACAGAGTCCTAAAAACAGAATAGAAGATCGCAAGAATCAAGTCAAAGAGTTGGAACATAAAGAGCCAGAAGACACTCCTCCGCAGAAGCTAGAAGGCAAGAGAATCCAGAAAATTGAAGATAATGTAAGAAACCTCTGGGACAACTTTAAGCAAACCAACATCAGAATTATGGGGGTCCCAGAAGATGAGAGAGAGCAAGATATGGAAAACATACTGAAAGAAATAGTGACAGAAAACTTCTCCCACCTGGTGAAAGAATATGACTTACAAGTCCAGGAAGCTCACAGAACTCCAAACAAAAGGAATCCAAAGAGGACCACACCAAGACAAATCATAATTAAAATTCCAAGAGCAAAAGACAAAGAGAGAATATTAAAAGCAGCAAGGGCAAAGCAGGTAGTTACCTATAAAGGAGCACCTATACGATTGTCAGCTGATTTCTCAACAGAAACCATGCAGGCCAGACGGGAATGGCAAGAAATATTCAAGGTGATGAATACTAAGAACCTACAGCCAAAGATAATCTATCCAGCAAAGCTATCACTCAGAATCGAAGGTCAGATAAAGAGCTTCACTAATAAAAAAAAGCTAAAGGAGTTCATCACCACCAAACCAGAATTATATGAATTGCTGAAGGGGATTCTTTCAGAAGAGAAAGTAAATAAAAATAAAAATTATAAAAAACAAATACGTAACTATCAACAAGTGATTCTAAAAACCAAGGAAATTTAAAAAAATCTGATGAGCAATATTTACTGTTGAATATAATATAGTAGAATCAGAGGTATGGAAGGGGAGTGAACTGACGATTCTTGGGGAAAAGGGGTGAGGGGGATGTGGGAAGAGATTGAACATAAACTGTGCACCTATGGATGAGGACAATGGGGAGTGGGGAAAGGGCAAGGGTGGGGTGGGAACCTGATGGAGGAGAGCAATGGAGGGGGGGAGGAAGAAACATTTGTAATAATACAAACAATAAAAATTTATTTAAAATAAAATAAAAAATTAAAATTTAAAATTAAAAGTAAAATTAAAATTATAATTAAAATAAAATAAAAATTCCTCAGCAGCCCATTGGCTGCCTCTGCTGGTCTCTGTGGGTTCAGGTAGAGAAGCGGCTCCAGGTGCGTTTTCACTTCTTGAAGAAAGTGTTTTATTCCTGGTTCAGCAGAAGACAACCAGCTGCTTAGAGAGATGGACGTCCATGCTTCAGTTTTACGATTCTGGATGGAGGAGGAGGAGATGCAGGAAGCAGGAGTGAGGCAGGTGGGAAGGTGAACAGAGCAGAGTCTGGGGCGGTCACAAAGGGGGGGTGTGGAGGAAAAGGGGGCCGGGGTGGGGGGCGGGGAGAGAAAGCAGAGGGACATGTGAGGCCTGAGGGGAGGCATGGAGCTGGGGCCCAGGAGAGAGCAGGTGACCCAGCGGGAGAGACAGGCCCGGGGGGTGAAGGGGAGGGGGGAAGACAGGGCAGGGAGCAGAAGGGAGGAATCTCACCGCGAGAATGTCCCCCAGCTTATGACACTGATCTGCTACGTATCGTTTCAGTTTAGTCCTGGCCTTGAATCGCTTGCCCTGGTTGTCCACGAAGGTGTCCCAGCAGTGCTGGTGCTCTGATGGGAACAGGGAGGGAAGGGTGAGCACCTTCCAGAGTGCAGGGAGGACCCAGGTCTCTGACTCTGGGGACACACCCTCCCCACCAGAATCTCCCACCCCCTTCCCCTCTCCTCCCCAGGCACTGAGCTCACCCTCACATCCTTTCTTCCCACTGGGACTAGAATCTGAGGCAGCCCCAACCCTTCTACCAGGAAGGACCTGGTCCTTATGGCACAGGGACCCCCCTCCTCTCCCCAGGACCCCTCTCTTCCCTAATCTCTCCTCCAAGAGACTGTCCTCTCCAGACCCAGCACCACCCCCTGCAGGCTGCTGACAGGGGTCCCCACCCTGATTGTCCTCCTGCCCCCTCTGTGCAGCCTTTCCCCAGCCTCTCTGCCTGCCTACCTCCCCTCCTCCCCTCCCCGTCAGGAGTCTCCTGCTGACCATTGCGGGTCATGATGGCCAGTTGGGCCCCAGCGTCCCACAGGTCACGCAGTCTATCATTACATCCATGGATACGGATGTGGGCAATGAAGATGCGCAGTCTCACGTGGCTGTTATCCCGCAGGAATTCAACCAGCTTCAGAGCACAGTCAAAGCAGGGGCTCCAGGAGATGTACCAGGTGAGTCTGTACTGCTTCTCCTGATCCAGGTGCCAAGAAGATACCCGATCCAAGAAGCACAACTCTGCATGGGGTTTCGTTTGATTTCTATGATCCGGGAAATGATCCCGTAAGCGTCCCTAAGCAGAGGGGGGAGAAGAGGGATCTGTCACGTCCTGTGAACCGGGAGGGGGCCAGCCTGAGGCAGGCGAGGCCCTGGCCTCCAGCACAGAAAGAGGGGCACGGCTCAGCGTCAGGAGGAATGCTGTTTGGACGCAGGATGTACACGGTCAAAGGCAAGGCACTCAGGAATCACACATCAGCGTTCACAACGGGCACAGGGCAGAGACGCCTCGTTCTGCACCCGCACACCATGGCCCCCGGGCTTTGAGACTGACCAGTCTCCACTGAGCTTGTTGCCATTTCACTCACCATGGGATTGCAGTAGCTTTGATTTTTAAATAAATAAGTAAATAAATAGCGGGGGACAGAGGGAGGAGGCCTCTGAGCCCCAGGTCCTGGGCCTGATGCCTCACAGGGGGGTGCTTCCTGCAGGCAGGGGGCTCTGCATCTGCTCCCCGACCTCCAGCTCCCTCCTGTGCACCAGCCCCTCCCCCCTCCCTGCCCCGTGCTGAGCCCAAGGGTGAGACAACTGTGCGGGGAAGGGGGTGAGGGGCACCCCTGCCTGCTGTGCCCGCTCACCAGGGTGCTCACGATTCCCTGGTACTGCTCCATTAGGGTCCAGGCGTCATCCTGCCAGACCTCCACCTCGTAGCACAGGTAAGTTTGGTTCTCACGTCTGTTTCTGAAGTTGTCCATGTAGGTACTTCTGATGATCAGGGGTCTGTGGACACAGGCAGGAGAAACCCAAGTCATGGGGCTCCTCTGGGGATCACCCCGTTCTCCTCCCCTCGCCACCCACATCCCAGCTAGGCCCACAGGATGGCCGTCCACTCACTGAGCTGGAGCCACCTGACCTCCCTCTCTGACCCCTGCGGGGGCTCCTGCGAAGTCAGACCAGCCCTGTGGTCAGGGTTTCCCAGGAAGCAGGGCAGGGGCTCAGAGCTGTGATAGGGCCTCTCCTGGCATCATCGTCCTGCCCTCCTCCCGCTGACCCAGCCCTGCCTGCAGCCGGCCATGGCGCTCTTTCCTCCCGTCCTCTGGGCTAACCCGAGCCCCACGGAGCATCAGGGACAGGTGGCCCCATCGGGGAAGAGAGATGCCAAACTGGTCTCTCCCGGTGTTTCCCTTCTCGTCATGAAAACAATCATGTCCTTACAAAACACATAACCGGGAATCTGACCTCCTAGGGCCCCGGTTCAGGGCAGAAAAAATAGATTTCATGGGAGACTGAGGGAGAGGAGAAACAGGAACTCACAAGGGTGATCCCCAGATTCTAGCCGGGGGCCTAGGGGAGGGGTAGTACAGGTCAGCTGGGCATCAGCTGAGGGGTCCTGGCTGGACATAGAAGGGCCATCAGGAGGGATGAGAGAAGCAGGGGGCCCCCGGGGAGAAGGCAAGTCCCCTCCAGGGAGCCAGGAGGAGGGCTCAGAGGCAGGGCTGCTCAGGGGCCGGTGGTACCTGGATCTGGGTGCTGGGTTGTCCTCCATGTCTCAGGTCCTTCGTCTTGTGATGCTCCCAAGGACTGAGGTGCCTTATATGCCAACAGAACAACTGGAACCTGATGAGCTGGCACCGCTGAGCCCCACCCTTCCCTAAACTCAAGACATTGTGCCACCTGATGGAAGAGGGAACAAATGATTCATCAATGCCCTCAGGGGCAAGTTAGGTTTTGATTTCTCTGTTCTGGCAACGGCCCTCCCTGGACCCTAACCCTAACCCTAACCCTAACCCTAATCCTAACCAGGCAGGAGGCGAGAGCACAGGTGAGAGGACAGTGCTCCTGCCTGAGGGAGGTCCTGCCCGGACACAGCCCCACAGGACAGGCCCCGGCCTACCCTGCCTCTCCCTCCGCCCCAGTGCAGGGCCTGGCAGGGGGGCGGGGGTGCAGTGCAGGGCCCTCGGGGCTGAGCCAGGGGGGGCTCTGCTCTAGAGGAAGGGCAGGGGGGACCCAGGTGAGCGCAGCTCTCCTCAGGAGCCACCCCGTAAGGGAAGGGCCTGGGCTCGGAGCCTGTGTCCGCCATCACCCAGAGGAGAACAGAGAGGCTCCCTCAGGCGCGTCCAGGATGGCCTGGGAGCAGGAGGAAGCAGGTCCCCATCTCAGGAAGGGGCCACGGCTCCTCCTCTGCACCCTCAGCCGCGAGGAACCGTGGGGAGAAGGGGGACACTTTGTATTCCAGGCTCCAGTGTGACCTGAGCCCAGCTGGTAGAGGCGGTCCTCTGATGCTCTGGTCCGTTCCACAACCAGCTGTCCTGCTGACTGTGCCCGCGGCTCCTCTCAGACCAGCCTGTGCCGGCCTCAAGCTGCCTCCCAGGCAGTGGCGTAGCGTGGGCTTTCGTCGCCTGGGGCCGACCGGAAATTTGCCGCCCCCCATTTAGTTATTCTAAAAAAACAGACAAAATAAAAAAAGCAGCATTAAATTTTTTTATTGATTAAAAATTTACTCTTCGTATTTTTTAATAGCAAAATCTTCTATACAATTGTCAATATCAATATGTATGTCATGTTCAATTGCCAGAATAGCTAAATTTGTTAGCCTTAACGTGGACATAGTTGATCTGAGATAATTTTTGATTAATTTGAGCTTAGAGAAGCTTCTCTCGCAACTAGCATTACTGATGGCAGATGTTAAAAAAATTCTCAACATTATGACAATGTTTGGTAAACCATCTTCAAGTTTGGACTCAATAATATATTTTAATAAACTCAGAGAGCCGGACGCGATTTGCAGTTTTACATATACCTATATTTTTTAAAATTTAAATATCATGGTGATTGCCGCCACCCCTTTTGATACGCCGCCCGGGGCCATGGCCCCCTCGGCACCCCCCTCGCTACGCCACTGCTCCCAGGGGCCATGCCCACCGCAGCCCGGTCTGTCCCTAGCGCACTCCGCGCTGCATGCTGGCTCTGCGGCTGTGGCTGATGGCCTTGCCTCCAGAGGTGGTCCCACTGCAGGTGCCACAGACACGACAGAGATCGGGCTTGGCACACAGCTGGGCCTGGGCACCGGGCCGAAGTCTGCCCTGACTCACCAAAACAGACACACACACACACACACACACAAACACACACACACACACACGTGTGTATGCTGATGACAAGCAGGAATCTCCTAGGCTCCCCAGACACACCCACAGCCTCCGTCGGTGGGGCAGGAAGCAGACAGGTGTGCAAGAGCCTCATCATCATCAAATCCAAAGACACGTTGTTGCATGTTTCTTTTTTTTCTTTTTTTAAATCAATCTTTATTGTTCATATTATTACAAAGGTTGCTCATTTCTTCCCCCCTCCACCAGGTTCCCACCCCACTCTCCGCCCCCTCCCCATCCCCCATTGTTCTCATCCATAGGTGCACAGTTTATGTTCAGTCTCTTCCTCCCTCCCTTTCCCTGATAGTAAATCCCTTTTCAGATAGTAAATCAGTTACTTAGCATTTTCTTATATCAATAATACCTCCACATGCCCAATGATACACTTCACACAAAAGACATTTCCAAATAGATCAAGCAACCTCATCCAGGCACTCACAGATCAACACCCCAGCGCTATACTAACTCAACACATCCAGATCTAAGCCTTCATCACTTGATTCAGCAGACCCTCAAGTTCCCGCAAAAGTTTCCAGCCATGTCTGAGAGGCAGCCGTGGGGCAGGGGCAGGTGAGGAGCGAGCTGTTCCAGGCCTGGCTGCTTCGGGCCTGGCCTCTGATGCTCTGGTCCATTCCACAACCAGCTGTTCCGGGTCTGGCCACCACTGCTCCCAACCTGGTTGCTCCGGACTTGGTTGCTGCTGCTCTGGGCCTGGCCACACCCAACCCGGCTACTCTGGGCCTGGCAACTCCGGGCCTGGCGGCTCCCAGCCTGGCAGCCACTGCTCCGGGCTCACCCGCTCCGGGTCTGGCCGCTCCCAGCCTGGCAGTTGCTGCTGGGGGCCTGGCCGCACCTGACCTGGCTGCTCTGGGCCCTGCTTCTCCAGGCCCAGCCACTCCGGGTCTGGGTGTTCCTGGACTGGCCACCCTGGGCTTGGCCGCCTCCGCCTCAGGCCTGGCTGCCACTGCCCCAGGTCTGGCTGCTCCAGGCCTGGCTGCTGCTGCTCTGGGGCCTGGCTGTTGCTGCTCCAGGCCCGAATGCCACTGCCTTGTGCCTGGCCACTCTAGGCCTGGCCGCCGCCATTCCAACATTCTGTCTTTATTTTTATTTTTTTATTTTAAAAACGCATTTATGTTACAATGTTGGCTGCTGAGTTGAGTTCTGACTTAGTCTTTGATTTTTCAAGATCTTCTTTGTGTTCTTTCTTAAGTAATTTTACTATCTTTTGCTCTCCCTTGATTTCTTCACATGGAGAACTTCTTCGGTTTCTTCCTCCTTGTCCTGGAAGCTCAGCAGGTTGGCCTGTGGCACCCCTTTGTTCTCCGCAGGCTCATGCACTGCTTCAGCCTGTTGCCAGGGTTGGCACCGCCACCCAGGAAGCAGCCCCCAGCCTCGGCTCCATAGCCCGCACTCAGCGGTCGAAGGCTCGGGGGCAACCCCACCCCCCTGGGGGCCCCATCGCCCGGTTCCTTGCTGGCGCCTGGCTGGCCGGTGTCTGGCAGGGGCTCCTGCTCCTCGTCGCGTTCCTCCAGTCTGGAGCTTTTTTTCTCCCTCCCGCTAGAGAAGTCTAGCATCAGAGTCAACAGACTGTCCTCTGCACGCAATGTGCACTACTCCGGGGGCTCCGCTTTTCGCCACTCCCCCAGGACTCCACCTCACAGCCCCGTCTCCCTCTGCTTGAGCCTGGGTCCCCAGGGATTGGCCTAGCGCTGGAGTTCAGGGCAGTCGGAAGTGGGGCTCAGCACCGCCGGAGATTTTGTTTCTTCCCGTCAGGGCAATACAGCATCAGAGTCAACATTCTGTCCTCTGCGGGCAATGTGTGCTTCTGCGCATAGTGTGCGCGACTCTGGGGGCTCCGCTTTTCACTGCTCCCCTGGAATTCCGCCTCACAGCCCCATCTCCCCCTGCCTGAGCCGGCCGGGGCTCCTGTTTCCTTCCCTCCAGTGCAATCCCGCATCAGAGTCAACATTCCTTCCCTTGCAAGCAATGTGCTCGGCCTTTCGCTGCTCTCCCAGGACTCCACCTCACAGCCCCGTCTCCCTCTGCTTGAGCTTGGGTCCCCAGGGATTGGCCCAGAACTGGAGTTCGGGGCGGTGGGGAGTGGGGCTCAGCACCGCCGGAGGCTTTGTTTCTTCCCGCTAGGGCAATCCAGCATCAGAGTCAACATTCCATCCTCTGCGAGCAATGTGCGTAACTCCAGGGGGCCCTGCTTTTCGCCGCTCCCCTGGGATTCCACCTCACAGCCCCGTCTCCCCCTGCCCGAGCCTGGGTCCCCAGGGTCTGGCCCATAACTTGGGGCTCAGCGCTGCCGGTTCGGGGGTTCAGTCCAGGCTGGGGGTTTTATTTCCTTCCTGCTAGGGAACGCCAGGCAGCACCCAGCCCTCTCCTCCTCTCCGGCTGCGACCTCTCCCCGCACGTGTGTGTGCGGGTGCGCAGCATGTCTCCGTACCTTAGGCTTACAGCTCCTCTGATTTTCCTTCTGGTTTTCTCTTTCCTTCTTGTTGTAGAATTTTCAGTCAGTCGACTACCTGTAACTCTGGGCAATGTCCACTCTACATTTTAGTTGTATTCCATTGAAATTGTTGTGTGCTGCTGCGGTTAGGTGTCTACCTGAGCAGCCATCTTGGATCCTCTCTGCATGTTTCTTTTTAACATATTTTTATTGATGTCAGAGAGGATGGGAGAGGGAGAGAAACTTCAGAACATCAATGGTGAGAGAGAATCATGGATCGGCTGCCTCCTGCACCCCCTCATGGGGGATCGAGGCCACAATCCGGCCACATGCCCAGATGGGGGAATTGAACATCGACCTTCTGCTTCATAGGTCGATGCTCAAGCACTGGGCCACGCTGGCCGGGCAAGAGGCTGCTCCGTATGAGGCCCAGGTCTGCCTTCCGGTAGGGGCCCTCCCGGCAGGACAGGCTGGCGTGGCCAGCCCAGGGCTGGGCCGTGACCTCAGGCTGTGAGCCCCCCTCTCCGAGGTCTCAGGCCCCAAGTCGTGGGCAAAGCTCTGAGCTCTGAGCCCGCGGGCCCGGGCGACGGGGACTGGGAGCTGGGGGTCAGGTCTGCCGGGACCTGCATGTGCAGCGCAGGGAGTGGGGACTCTGCCGTCATGACAGTCCACATATCTCAGCCCGCTCCTCCACTTTCCCAGCGTGACTGCGTCCTGGTCAGTTGCCTCCAGGCAGAGTGGGGGCTCTTGCCAGAGTCCACGGATCGAAACCCAAGAACTGATTCGATGATGAGGCCCTTGCACACCCGTCTGGGGAGTGGTGATGTCAGCTGCTTCCTGCTCCTCCGCTGGAGGCCTGTGGGTGTGTCTGGGAAACCTGGAGATTCCTGCTTGTCATCTGCTTGCTTGCGTGTGTGTGTGTGTGTGTGTGTGTGTGTGTGTGTGTGTGTAGTTGTCTCTGACTCTCATTTGCTCAATTGCCTCACCTGACTGTCATGCTGCACTGCCAGGGCTTCAGGTAGGTCCAATATCTGCTATGCCGATCCACCTTAGCTTCACTTTTGAGATTGTATTGGCCTTGTACAGTTCTCCATGAATTTATGGTCAAAATTTCCTTAAAAGATGTATTTTTTGTTTTGTTTTGTTTTTTAATTTTATTAATTTCACAGAGAGGGACGAACGGGGAGAGAGAGAGAGAGAGAGAGAGAGAGAGAGAGAGAGAGAGAGAGAGAGAGAGAGAGACATCATTGATGAGAGAATCATTGGTTGGCTGCCTCCTGCATGGCCCTACTGGGAAAAGAGCCCCCACCTCAGGCGTGTGCCCCTGCATGAACCGCTGGTTTGTGGGTCCATGTTCAACCATTGGCCCAACCAGATGAGAGATGGACAAGCTTCTTCCTGTTTCATAAGATACCCTATTATCAATGTGTAGCTCAATCTTAGCAAGCATAGACATGGCAGAGGCACTGAGAATCTCCTTCCATGAACATGGTATATATATATATATATTATATATATATATATATATATATATATATATATATATATATATATCCATTTTTACGGGCATTCTTTTATGTTCTCAGTGAGTTGAAGTCAACTTAAACGGGAACCAGGAAGGGAAGGAAAGAGGCAGCCGTGAGGGCAAAGAAGAGGAAAGGGAGCACGGGGAGGAAGGAACAGGATCAAAAAGGAAGGTATACCATCTGGGAAGATGGAGAGAAGTGAAGCAGCGTGGAGAGAGGGAAGAATGGAGGGAGGAAAGGGGCAGAGAGAGAGGGTGTGGATCGGGGTTTCACCTTGTCCACAGGCAACCTTGGGAAAAGGGAAAAAGAACTTGGCCTCAGGGCACTATGGTGTTAGGTAGTCATTCCCTGCTCTGAGAATTGCGGATAAAAGGGACTTTGCCCAGGTCCTGAGACATGGTGAGTCTGCACCAAAAGGCAGGGGTTACTTTAAAGCAAAGGGAATGGAGGCCCTCTCAGTAGGTCCTGCTCACACGGGCATGGTGCCATCAGTTCTGGGTCTGGCATTCTCCCTGGCACAGCTACAGAAGGGACGGGAGGAGACAGGAATGAGGGCAGCAGCCCACAGGGCATGCTGGGAGTCCTGGGGATAGGCCAGGAGGCACAGGGTCAGGACACAGGAGAAACATCCGGGGCAGAGGAGGAGCTGGCAGAGTATAGGGAGGGAATCCCATCAGGGATGGCAGGAGGAGGGCTCAGGAGCAGGGCCCAGCCCTGTCTGGGGTCTCAGCCTTGATCACTGCTAAGGCCCCCAATGCTGCTGCTCACCACGTCTTCCCAACACCTGGCTGCACCTGGTGTGAGCAGACAGGGCTGCAGAATGGAAGGGTTGTTTGTAAACAGACTGATTTATGGGGCCAGAGTCTTCCCTCTTCCTTACAATAACCTCCTCCTTTGTTGAAGACCAACTTTCTCAGACATTGTCCCACATGCCTGACCTTTAACTGTCACCGTAGCCCCACGGTCAGTCGCTGTTCCTCTCTGAGTGTTACAGGTGGGGAACCAGAAGGCAGTCCTGTTCCCTCTGCCACACCCTCAGGGTCCCCAAAGGAGGGAAAGGCCGCTGGAAACAGATTGATGAGCCGCCCATCGGCTGGCCTTCATGGCGGGTCCCCGCTGTTGCCCATCGAAAGGATGTACAGGCTGAAACATTCTGTGGTTGGTCCAGTCCCCTCTCTGCCTGCCCCCAAGGAAGGAGGCATGATAGTGGAGGTGGCCGCCACCTTGGACGAGACCAGCAGGAGAAGAACACCCCCCAGAGCTGAGTTGGGGCCAGGGGCTGGGCCGAATTCCAATAGCATCCCTGAGTGGCTGAACCTGGCCCACAATGTCCTCCTCCTCCCACAGGTCTTGTCCTGGGAAACAAGCTGACTCTCAGCCCCTCAATGGCGGCCACAGTCCCCTGACAACCCAGCCTTCTGCCCTGGATCTCCTTCCTTCCCCTGGTCTCCCCCCATTGGCCTCAGCCCTGCTTTGCCCCACCCAACCCACCCCCACCCATCCCTGTCCTTTCCTTCCATCTCTTCAGGTCGCTGTGTCTGTCAAGTCTTCCCTCTGGCTTGTGTCCTCCTGACTCAGTCCCTTCCTACTGCTTTGGCCACGAGCATCACCACTGTCCTTATCCTCTGTCCCTCCAACGTCTCTCACACTGAAGGGTTCAGTCCCAGCCCCTCACACCCTGCGGGAGGCTGAGGGGGGTGGTCCGGACAAGGGAGCAGAAGCCTGTGGTGAGAGACCGGGGAGCCCTCGTTGCCTGTACGGCCTTGTGCGGGAAGCCAGCTGGCAGGGCCTCGCTCAGCATGGTCCAGGCTCCACAGAGACACGGAGGACAGTCAGCTGCTGCCGGCCTGCATCCTGCGTGGTCAGGTCCTGGCAAGGGCAGAGGGATCCTCTCTGCAGGGAAGCCCCTCCCTCCAGCGTCCTCTCCAGGGAGTGGAGCGGGAAGGGCCTGAGGACTGCAGTCCTCCCCAGCCCTGCCTCAGCCAAGCATCCACTTCAGTTGCTCTTCCCAATAGCGACCCGGAGTCTCTCTCTGGCCTTATTGCGTGGGCCATCATTTCAAGGCAGCCCTCCTCTCAGCATGTCCTGGGGGATGCCTCCAGGCTTTGGACTCTGAGATTCGCTCCTGTCAGTATCACTGACTTCACCTGACCAGGGGCAGTTACCGTGAGCCTGCCCTCCCTGGGGCACCCACAGAGAGAAAGGCGTTTTCACGTTTGCAAGGGCTCATGGGACTGTTTGGACTTCACCGAACACTTACAGAGGAAGAGACATTTTGTGGACGGGTCTTAACCTTTCATATTATTGCTCTGGATTTAAAATCAATGTAAATAATTAATCCTCTAAATATGATTCTGATGGTAAGGAATAGAATGTTAATGATGTGTATTTTAAATTAAATCACTGATTTTAAATGAAAAGTAAATCAATCGTTTTTTTAAAAATTCGTTAGGAGCTCATTCATTGCCTTTTACTGGTGTCTTTTGATCAATTTGGAGGTGGTGGCAAATGATGAGTTTTTATGTTAAGTTTTTATTGATTTCAGAGAGGAAGGGAGAGGGAGAGAGAGAGATAAAACACCAATGATGAGGGAGAACCATTGACCGGCTGCCTCCCACTCAGGTGTCGAGCCTGCACCCAGGCATGTTCCCTTGACTAGAATCCAACCAGGGACCCTTCAGTCCACAGGCCGACGCTCTATCCATTAAGCCCAACCAGCTAGGGCCGTTTTCACTTCTTTAAGAAACTGTTTTATTCGTCGTTCAGCAGAAGACCCCCTACTGCTTACACAGACAGAAGTCCATGCTTCAGTTTTCCGGATTCTGGATGGAGAAGGAGGAGGTAGAGGAGCGGGTGTGGGGCAGGTGGGAAGGTGAACAGAGCAGATTCTGGGACAGTCAAAAGGGGGGTGGGGAGAAAAAGGGGGGCAGGAGGGGAGAAAGCAGAGGGACTTGTGAGGCCTGAGCGGGGGGACGGAGCTGGGGCCCAGGAGGGAGCAGGTGACCCAGAGGGGAGACAGCCCAGGGAGAGAAGGGGAGGAGGTGGGACAGGGGAAGCAGGAGGGAGGGATCTCACCCTGAGAATGTCCTCCAAACTCTTAGCTAGGCTGTAACTGTTTATGTATATTCCTTTCCAGTGCCGGAATCGCTTTTCGGGGCCACGCACAAACACGTCCCAGCAGAAGACAAAGTCTAAAAGGGACGGGGAGACCATGGTGGGCTTCCGGAGCCCTGAGGGGACTCAGTGCCTGACTCCGAGGGACACCCTCTTCCCATCATGACCCCACACCCCTTCCCCTCTCCTTCCCGACTGCACAGTCACTCCAGGTCCTTCTCCCCGAGGAAACCAGGCACGCCTCTCGCCCTTCTGGAAGCCTCCTTCTTGTACGTGTCCTCCTCCTCCCTCCCCAGCCTGGACCACCTCTCTCCCCTGACCTTCTTGTCCAGGAGGCTCCCGGTCTCCCCGCCTCCCCGCCTCCAGCACCACCGCCACCTCCGCAGGCAGCTCAGGGGCTTCTCCTTCCTGCTGGGGATGCTAGGTCCTTCCTGCCTGGTCCTAGTCCCCCCCACCCCCAGCCCCCCAGTTCCTGCCTGGGTGCCCAGGCTCTCACCAGCTGGAGTCATTACTGCCACATGGGCCCCTGCGCCCTGCAGGCTGCGCAGCCCCTGCTGGTACTGGGGGCGCCTGGGGTAGTAGAGGCGGGCGGCCAGGATGCTCAGCTGCACGGACGTGTGGTCCCTGGAAGCAGGGGCTCCAGGACATGAACCACGTGACCTGGTATTTCTCCTCAGGGGCCAGGCGCTGGGCCAGGAAGGCTGGCTGGGCCTTGAACCAATTCAAGAAGCAGATTTCTGCGTGGACGGGCTCCTTGGGATAGAACTGGGGGAGACGGAGAGAGGAGGGGGCCCTCTGGGCTGGCAGAGCAGGCAGGGGCAGGGCTGGAGGCGGGGGTGGTGGGTTGGGGTGCGGGGGAGACAGGGAGTCAGAGACTCAGAAGCATGTGATTGGTTGGTTGGTTGATTGATTGATTGATTGACTCCCCTCTAAATGGCTCCCCTCCAGGCTATTTTAAGTTTAGTCATGCCTTCCCACCCTCATCCATGAACTCCAACATCCGCCCTCCCATTCTCTCATTCTACAAGCTTTGGGGGTGTCTGCTCCAGGCCAGGCCGCTGGGTCCAGGCTTGTTCCCGGGTGCTGCCTGCCGGGAGGAACCGGAGCTGTGCTGCCACAGGCAGCCACTGGCACAGGGTCTCCTGTGCTCTTGATGTGCTCGCCTGCATGGATGTGTGCGACAAACACGGGACACACACCTCGTCTCTGTGACGTAGTACGAAAGAAGAATGCAAACTATCTTGTGAAGAACTTCCATATTAATGAAATTTTTTTTTTGTTTTTAAAAAATATATTTTATTGATTTTTTTACAGAGAGGAAGGGAGAGAGATAGAGAGCTAGAAATGTCGATGAGAGAGAATCATCAATCAACTGCCTCTTGCACACCCCCTACTGGGTACGTGCCCGCAATACAGGTACATGCCCTTCACCACAATCAAACCTAGGACTTTCAGTCCTCAGGCCGACGCCCTATCCACTGAGCCAAAAACGGTTTCTGCAGGATAGGCCGTTTTTGGAAGGTTCTTAATCTTTCATGTTATTGTTTTCTATTTAAAATCAATGTAAATGATTAATCCCCTACATATGATTCTGATGGTATGAAATCGAGTGGTACCGGTGTGTGTTTGGAACACATCACTGGTCTTAAATGACAAGTAAATGGATCAGATTTTTAAAAATTCCTCAGCAGCCCATTGGCTGACTCTGCTGGTCTCTGTGGGTCCAGGTGGAGATGCGGCTTGTGGTGCGTTTTCATTTCCTGAAGACAGTGTTTTATTCCTCGTTCAGCAGAATTTAGAGATGGAAGTCGATGCTTAGAGAGTTAGACGTCCATGCTTCAGTTTTCCCGATTCTGAAAGGAGGAGGAGGAGGTGTAGAAAGCGGGGGTGAGGCAGGTGGGAAGGTGAACAGAGCGGAGTCTGGGGCAGTCACAAAGGGGGGGTGGGAAGGAAAAGGGGGGCAGGAGGGGAGAAAGCAGAGGGACTTGTGAGGCCTGAGGGGAGGGATGGAGCTGGGGCCAATTAGGGAGCAGGTGACCCAGAGGGGAGACAGGCCCGGGGGGTGAAGCGGGAGGGGGGAACACAGGGGAGAGGGGGGCAGACGGGAGGAATCTCACCCAGAGAATGTTCTCCAGCTCATCACACTGATCTGCTATGTGTTCTTCCATGTTAGGCCAGGGCCCGAACGGCTGGCCCTGGCTGTCCACGAAGGTGTCCCAGCAGTGCTGGTGCTCTGATGGGAACAGGGAGGGAAGGGTGAGCACCTTCCAGAGTGCAGGGAGGCCCAGGTCTCTGACTCTGGGGACACACCCTCCCCACCAGAATCTCCCGCCCCCTTCCCCTCTCCTCCCCAGGCACTGAGCTCACCCTCACATCCTTTCTTCCCACTGGGACTAGAATCTGAGGCAGCCCCAACCCTTCTACCAGGAAGGAACTGGTCCTTATGGCACAGGGACCCCCCTCCTCTCCCCAGGACCCCTCTCTCCCCTGAACTCTCTCCTCCAAGAGGCTCTGTCATCTCCAGACCCAGCATCGCCCCCTGCAGGCAGCTGACAGGGGTCCCCACCCTGATTGTCCTCCTGCCCCCTCTGTGCAGCCTTTCCCCAGCCTCTCTGCCTGCCCACCTCCCCTCCTCCCCTCCCCGTCAGGAGTCTCCTGCTGACCATTGCAAGTCATGATGGCGAGTTGGGCTCCAGCATCCCGCAGGTCACGCAGCCTATCATTACATCCACGGATACGGATGTGAGCAATGAAGATGCGCAGGCTCACGTGGCTGTTCTCCCGCAGGAATTCAACCAGCTTCAGAGCACAGTCAAAGCAGGGGCTCCAGGAGATGTACCAGGTGAGTCTGTAGTGCATCCCCCGAAGCAGGTGCCAAGAAGATACCCGATCCAAGAGGCACAACTCTGCATGGACTTTCGTTTGATTGTTATGATCCCGGAAGCGTCCCTAAGCAGAGGGGGGAGAAGAGGGATCTGTCACGTCCTGTGAACCGGGAGGGGGCCAGCCTGAGGCAGGCGAGGCCCTGGCCTCCAGCACAGAAAGAGGGGCACGGCTCAGCGTCAGGAGGAATGCTGTTTGGACGCAGGATCTACACGGTCAAAGGCAAGGCACTCAGGAATCACACATCATCAGCGTTCACAACGGGCACAGGGCAGAGAGGCCTCGTTCTGCACCCGCACACCATGGCCCCCGGGCTCTGAGACTGACCAGTCTCCACTGAGCTTGTTGCCATTTCACTCACCATGGGATTGCAGTAGCTTTGATTTTTAAATAATTAAATAAATAGTGGGGGACAGAGGGAAGAGGCCGCTGAGCCCCAGGTCCTGGGCCTGATGCCTCACAGGGGGATGCTTCCTGCAGGCAGGGGGCTCTGCGTCTGCTCCCCGACCTCCAGCTCTCTCCTGTGCACCAGCCCCTCCCCCTCCCTGCCCCGTGCTGAGCCCAAGGGTGAGACAACTGTGCGGGGAAGGGGGTGAGGGCCACCCCTGCCTGCTGTGCCCGCTCACCAGGGTGCTCACGATTCCCTGGTACTGCTCCATTAGGGTCCAGGCGTCATCCTGCCAGACCTCCACCTCGTAGCACAGGTAAGTTTGGTTCTCACGTATGTTTCTGAAGTTGTCCATGTAGGTACTTCTGATGATCAGGGGTCTGTGGACACAGGCAGGAGAAACCCAAGTCATGGGGCTACTCTGGAATCACCCCGTTCTCCTCCCCTCGCCACCCACATCCCAGCTAGGCCCACAGGATGGCCGTCCACTCACTGAGCTGGAGCCACCTGACCTCCCTCTCTGACCCCTGCGGGGGCTTCTGCGAAGTCAGACCAGCCCTGTGGTCAGGGTTTCCCGGGAAGCAGGGCAGGGGCTCAGAGCTGTGACGGGGCTTCTCCTGGCATCACCATCCTTTCCTCCTCCCACTGACCCAGCCCTGCCTGCAGCCGGCCATGGCGCTCTTTCCTCCCGTCCTCTGGGCTAACCCGAGCCCCACGGAGCATCAGGGACAGGTGGCCCCATCGGGGAAGAGAGATGCCAAACTGGTCTCTCCCGGTGTTTCTCTTCTCGTCATGAAAACAATCATGTCCTTACAAAACACATAACCCTGAACCTGACCTCCTAGGGCCCCGGTTCAGGGCAGAGAGAATAGATTTCATGGGAGACGGAGGGAGAGGAGAAACAGGAACTCACAAGGGTGACCCCCAGATTCTAGCCGGGAGCCTAGGGGAGGGGTAGGACAGGTCAGCTGGGCATCAGCTGAGGGGTCCTGGCTGGACATAGAAGGGCCATCAGGAGGGATGGGAGAAGCAGGGGGCCCCCGGGGAGAAGGCAAGTCCCCTCCAGGGAGCCAGGAGGAGGGCTCAGAGGCAGGGCTGCTCAGGGGCCGGTGGTACCTGGCTCTGGGTGCTGGGTTGTCCGCCATGTCTCAGGTCCTTCCCCTTCTCTGTGGCCACGGTCCGTCCTCCTCCTGTGATGCTCCAAGGACTGAGGTGCCTTATATGCCATCAGAGCAGCTGGAACCTACTGAGCTGGCACCGCTGAGCCCCACCCCTCCTCAAAACTCAAGACACTCATGCCACCCGATGGAGTCAGGGAAGAGGGAACTTTTCTCCCCAAATGTCTCATCAGTGCCCTCAGGGCAAGTTTGGTCTTGATTTCTCTGTTGACAACGGGATTCCCTGGACTGACCTTGGGCCGGTGAGGTCCCAGGAGGCTGGGCCACTGTGGGCAGCGCGGCACAGCCAGGCAGGAGGCGAGAGCACAGGTGAGAGGACAGTGCTCCTGATGAGGGAGGTCCGGCCCGGACACACAGCCCCACAGGACAGGCCCCGGCCCACCCTGCCTCTCCCACGGCCCCAGTGCAGGGCCTGGCTGGTTGGGAGGCCAGTGTAGGGCCCTGAGGGCTGAGCCAGGAGGGGCTCTGCTCTAGAGGAAGGGCAGGGCGGGACCCAGGTGAGCACAGCTCTCCTCAGGAGCCACCCCGTAAGGGAAGGGCCTGGGCTCGGAGCCTGTGTCCGCCATCACCCAGAGGAGAACAGAGAGGCTCCCTCAGGCCTGGGAGCAGGAGGAAGCTAGGCCTGCCTCAGGAAGGGGCCACGGCTCCTCCTCTGCACCCCCAGCCGCGAGGAACCGGGGGGAGAAGGAGGACACTTTGTGTTCCAGGCTCCAGTGTGACCTGAGCCCAGCTGGTAGAGGCGGTCCCCGAGGGGCTGCCCCTCTGTCCCGCTGACTGTGCCCGCGGCTCCTCTCAGACCAGCCTGTGCCGGCCCCACGCTGCCTCCCAGGGCCGGGCCCACCACAGCCTGGTCTGTACCCAGTGCGCTCCTCGCTGCATGCTGGCTCTGCGGCTGTGGCTGATGGCCTTGCCTCCAGAGGTGGTCCCACTGCAGGTGCCACAGACACGACAGAGATCGGGCTTGGCACACAGCTGGGCCTGGGCACCTGGCCGAAGTCTGCCCTGACTCACCAAACACAGACACACACACACACACACACACACACACACACATAAGCGGATGACAAGCAGGAATCTCCTAGGCTCCCCAGACACACCCACAAGCCTCCGTCGGTGGGGCAGGAAGCAGACAGGTGTGCAAGAGCCTCATCATCCAATCGGAAGACACCTTGTGGCATGTTTCTTTCGAACATATTTTTATTGATGTCAGAGAGGATGGGAGAGGGAGAGAAACCTAGGAACATCATTGGTGAGAGAATCATGGATCGGCTGCCTCCTGCACCCCCTCATGGGGGATCGAGGCCACAACCCCGGCCACGTGCCCAGACGGGGGAATTGAACCTTGACCTTCTGCTTCATAGGTCGATGCTCAAGCACTGGGCCACGCTGGCCGGGCAAGAGGCTGCTCCGTATGAGGCCCAGGTCTGCCTTCCGGTGGGGGCCCTCCCGGCAGGACAGGCTGGCGTGGCCAGCCCAGGGCTCGGCCGTGACCTCAGGCTGTGAGCCCCCCTCTCCGAGGTCTCAGGCCCCAAGTCGTGGGCAAAGCTCTGA